TTCATGCAGACAAGCTATTACAACAGCATTTCAATCTCTTCCTACGGAACAGATAGGAAAGAAGAGTAACGAAGATTACATTTTCCCAAAATGTATTAAAAAGCTTTTTTAAGAGTATTCGAATAATTATTTTCTAACATTCGAAAATTTTTAAAAATAAATCGATTGCTTTTCGAAAAAAGCAATTGTACGAAGAAAATAAATTTCGAAATTTAAATAATAATAAAAATAGTAATAAAAGTTATCGAAAAAGAAATATCAAAAAAGTCAAAATATTTTAGGAAACTTTCATATATATACATATATTTTTTTTCCGAGTTCCTTTAATTTTGAATTCCGTAACAAAATTTTAGTAATTGAAATTAATGGACCAGTATTTGAAGCAAATACAATTTAGCGAAAATTAATCGATTCTGATAAGAGCTGTAGGATGCTCCGTTAAATATCCCATTTTCTTTCTCCAGTCTCTACCATAATGCTCAAACGGATTTGCAAACTTCAAGAATTGCAAATCAGATGAATTTTTTTTTTATTTAGTCTACGCTGAAGCGACATCCACGGACAGCATGCAGAAAGAGGAACGCGATCAGGTAAATATATATTTGTCTTTTTCTAACAAGTCACATTATAGGCCAGTTTTCCATATGTACCTTCGCTCTCTTTAGTTTTTTCCGAAGGCATTTCCGTTTATGTTCAGGATCCGTTTTCACGTGTATTTTCTTCTTTTTCTTTTCTTCCGGATGTGGAGTAAGTACGGGCAGGATATGGCTCATTTTCCCAGGGAGGGGAATATGAACAAAGTGGAGCATTTCTGTTGTTGTTGTTTTAAATAACATCTTCTCCGTAGCCACGTAAAAGTTAAGAAGTTAATAATGAATTTTTTTATCCTGGCCGCATAATTTTGTCCGCTTACCATATTGACGAAAATATTTAGAAAAATTTTTACTATACTTTTACTAACATACTTATAATGCAGCAGACCTCACATTACTTTTATTTCTCTAGAGTGTAACGGCTTTAGGGTGGAAATAAAATGGGATAAATAAATGGGATAAGTGTTCTCTTGATAGTAAAGTAAAAAAGAAGAAAAAAAAATTGAAACAATTTATATATATATATATCAATTTATTCAGAATAAAGAGTGTACCAAAGCGAAACGTGAAACACTTCGTTGGGAATGCCAGTCTACCGAACACTTGCTAAAATTAGTTTGTGAAGAGATTAAAAAACATCCAAAATGCTTTGAGGCGAGTCTTTCTCTTTCGATTTTGTTATTAAGTGTACACAATTCATTCAATGATTCTTTCGAAGCAGAAACCCACGCCACACAAGTTTTATAAGAAAATCACCGCAAAGTGCCCGAAATTGCAAAAGAAATGCTGGATTGCTTTGAAAAATAAAATGCAAGCTTGTAGGCTTCATTTTATAAAAGCACAAAAATGGTCGCATGATTCCGAATCAATTGTACGGACGTTTGGAGGCGAAAAAGCAGTTAAAGGTTAGAATTTGAATTTCTCCTATAAATATATACATATATATATATATATATATGTAAACGTATTAATGTATCTGCTTCCCTTGTAGATTATTTAAACAAACTTTGCCCATATTATGACGTGCTGGATATCATTTTTGGAAGGGACGAATCTGAAGGTTGCGTCTATAATGGTTCGTAATCGCAGGACAATAAACTAAGGAGTAGAACGTAGCTTATGACCTTTTTCGTTTTTTTTCTTCCAAGCATTGCGATAACATACAATTTAAGAACACAAATATCTTTTATGAGCATAATATTGTATGCGTACGAGACTCCTTAGCTTCCCTTTTGTGACTGTCCTACTCTCCGCACACCTTTCGCGGTAATATTGATGCTTTCAAGTTTTCAATAATTCGGCCAACTACTGGTGGAGAAAGGCGGGCCAAGTCGGGGGCACATAATTTTAGTCAGCTGGCTGTGTCAGTCAACCTTTTTGGAAAATGTACATTTAACCTGCGCCTTAAAAATGTAGCGGGAACGAGTATACTCGTGTAACACCAAATTAGCTTGCAACGAAATAACTTGACGAAATCCCGTACGCATATTCTAAAATACTATAGAATATTATGGAACATTCATAATGATAAAATTTGATAAGAAAGTCCGACCAGAACGGGCCATGGCGCTTATATTAGTCATAGAAAAAATGTTTTGTACTTGCCGCAAATTAAATTTACAATTATATAGTGGCACGGAAGGGATCATTTTGAAAATTCGTTCCAAGACGAACATGAAGTCCTTTAGTTTTCCTCTTTATCAAAAAATTCTTCTCCTGCTTTTCCGAAAAAAGTGTTTTTTTTATTATATTTGCATACGTATCGAGTATAGTCTTTTACTACTAAATATGAATTTCTTATTTTAATCGCTAGGCTTTATCCCGCCCTGTTTTTCCACGTAATTAACTAAACATTGATTCGTTGCAGATGATAGAAAATCATGTAATAATAACGGTGATGAAGACCTTTCGGCTTATTTCGAAATGATTGATAAGTTGCTTAGTAATGACAATTGTAATAATAATGATAGCGACCACGATGCTAGCAATTGCACCTGTTGTGATCTATCGGACAGTATGGCAAGCGAAAAAGAGGAGGGAAAGTGCAAGAAACCTGAAGAAGGTTTATATAGGAAAGAAGTTTTCCGTAAAGACGAATATGGAGTTTCTGTTGCTGAGAGTCGAATAGTTCACTCCGAATCAAGACATATGGCCGGTATGCAATCATGCGCGCAGATACCAACCATAAGAGAGATAAATCAAAGTGAAGAAATTTCTGAAGTTCGCGAGGACTCAATATGTTCTTTCAATGAGACGCAAGAAAGTGCAGTACTTGGCTATGACAAAAAGCAAAAGAAATCAGTTAGTAAAAAAAATTCAGCGTCTCGTTTGGCACTCGAGAAAAAGAGATTAGAAGTTGAGCATCAGAGATTGGAATTGGAAAAGAAGAAATTCGAATGGCAGCAAGAGAAAGAAGGATGCGAACTAAAATTAAAGCAAACAGAACTCGAACGCTTGTTTGAGTTGAAAAAATGTGAATTAGATAAACAGGAAAGAATTGAGAAGGAAAAAATGAAGCTGCAATTGGAGCATGAAGCAAGATTGAAAAAATATGAAGTGGATATGAAGTCTAGACAGAATCGAAGTACAACCTCGTGCAGAAGTTGCAATAATGGAAGGAACAAAGATTAAAAAACAAAAAAAGAAAGCAAGAAACCATGAAATAAAAACAAAATTACGAAATTCAAAAGTCAACCATAAGTTGACTAAAATTAGGGCGACATTTTGAATTGCGTATTCGTTCAGTTTTCAAAAATTTTTGAATTTTCCTTTGAAATCCGAAATAAATATTGGCTTTACTTTGTTTTTTTCTTTAAATTTCGCCACCAACCATTCAATCGTTTTTCATTACACTAAAATATTTCAAGAATAACAAGACTTACGTAATGTAAACGACAAAGGTTCATTTTGTTTTCTATACTGCTAGTGCTCAATTTCTTTTCTTTTAGTCTGAGGACTTATTCCATAAACTGAAAAAATGATAATAATAATATTAGCGAAGGTCCACAGTGCTGTCGGAGACATTCTGATGAAAGGGTACACGTAACTTCCACGTTCCCAGAAAGCGAAGGAAGAAAAGTATAGAACAATGGAAAATATTTTGAATAAAATTTATTTTTAAATGAGTTATCGATTTTAGCGAAAACTTCCTGCAAACTTAACTATAAATCCAATTTATCCAAGTTACTGATGGGTATCAAGTAAATGGCGCTACAGTTTTGGGAAATGAGAAACCTTCTTCCACTGACATAAAAGTTGGACTCTATTGGAAATGGATTTACTTGGAATATTTTCAGGGCCACTCCGCACACATGCAGTTAAGGCTTTTTTCAAAGAGGAGTTATATGAAAAAATGATTATTTGTATTAGTTGTACAAATGAGTTCCTCTCGCTGAAATTAGCTACTTCATAAAACGTATTGAAGCCCTTTTCCGGAATTTCGAGCACCTATATCTACAGCAACGTGGGTTTAAAGAGACGAGTGTAATTTATGGATTCGGCATTTTTTTGTGTTTTTAACTGGATTAATCGGTGAGAAGTGCTGCTAAAAGCACGAAAAGGCTAAGTCGGCTTGGAATGAAAATGCAGTGAGCTACAAAATAGAAAGTAGTTTACGAGACATCGAGCAAACAATGAAATTTGCATATGTCCGTATGTCTTCAGCATAAGCAAGCCAAAAAGTGATTCTCATTTTAGGCTGGAAAGTTTTACCGCAACCCGCGGTATTGTCACGACTTGGCCCCTTCCGACTACCATTTACTCAAGTCGATGTAATCATATTTACCAGGTCAACGGTTCACAAAGATTGTATTTCGCCCCCAAACTCGTGAGTTGTTGCCGCGAAAGTATCCATAAGCAGTCCGACAAATAGGAAAAGACCATAGATAAAGATGGCGCAACAAGTAGAAACTGTAGAAATTTATTTGTACATCCTATACTATTTCTTGAAAATTTGCATGGAAGAAGGAAGTCATCTTATGAATCTCTTTCCACAGAGAAGTTATTATCGGAAACAAGACATTATATGAGAACCAGACCTAATTTTTAGCATTCCGCAGTGAAAGTTTGCACAGACTAGTGACTTGCTGTATTAAATGTGTGTGAAATTTGCTGTATTAAATTTGGAGCACATTGCTCTGCTATTTTGCACTCATCCAATATCTTTGGACATAAGTGCCGAATAATATGTTATTTGATAATAACATTGATAGTGCTACAATCAGATTACTTTGGTTGATGCTTTGGACTTTTTAAAAAGTGAACTCTGGATTAGCAATAGATGACGACAACATTTCAACTTACTTTTACAGTGACCACGTCCCAGTCGAGTAAAGGTATGGAAAAGTGCGAAGCAACTTACTCAGCAATCTACGAAGAGGAAGAGCCCAATACTGTCTTATTTAAATAAACAAATAGTGCGTAATGTTCTTAGTAGCTTTAAACATTTGTTATACGTAAATATATTTACAGACAAAAATTTACAATACGATTAATGACTGACTGTCAACGAACAGAGTAATTCGAATACTATGCTTACAAAAAGATAAGACGAAGGTACCTCTTTAAAAATTTCAGGATTCATTGATAATCACATCACATTTTCAAAACTAAATGAGCACAAGCCAGTGTCAATTAATTTTCTTGCGATTGTAGCCGTTTCGTTGAGTTTTTGGAATTTGATCATTGCTTGAATTGTGTCTCGCACAATTAAGAATTTCTGTTGTATCAGGTTCGTCGTCTACCAAAGTAGGCTCTATAAGTTCGATGGCGCAACGTCTAGGAAACCAACCTCGAACAGGACCTTTTCGCTTCCTCTCTTCCATGCTGTTCGGGTCAGTAAGCACACGTTCTCCAAACAGCCAATGCCTTCGAAAACGTGTTACCCGTATAATGTCATCCTTTTCGAGACGTATACGAGGTTCATCGGTACAAGGCGTTGCTAAGCATACACGAAAGCCTTGAGACCACAAAGGCACATAACTACCGGTGGCTTTACGTATGCATTTAAAAGTTCGTGTACGTGCACGTTTCTCAAATTTCTGGGCGATTTGCTCCCGCTTATTTGTGAAAACAATATATAGAAAATTATAATAGATAATAAAAATTTTCCAAGTTGTTGAAAACTTACCGTTAAAGTGAATTCTTCGCAACCTTCTCTTACTGGCCATTCAATACCATTACCCCGTGCGACGCATTCATTTTCAAAAACTTGCTTAATATTTTGCCGCCAACCCAAGTCGTAAGGAAATATAAAATCGTCTAAATCTGTATTATGATGCCGTCGAAATACGGCTTTTTCTATAATCCACATTTCAATAGCAGTTTGATTTTTCACAATTGATTTAAGCTAATAGAGTACAGCAGATGAAAAGCAGAAAAAGGAAATAGAAAATTTGCAAAATATTTACCTGAAAATAAAGTAACATCCCCAGAGCAATTACGACACCTACCGCCAAACCCATTGCGAATATGCAAATAATTAAACTCCACATGGTAAGCTGAACTGTCGCCAAATACGCTAAGCCATGTGTTAAATACCAAAAACGATAGATGCCTCGATAGAAGGCACCGCACAATATGATGCAACCATGAAAACTACCAAGAACCGAAAATGCTAGAAATAATGTGAAATAGCCGTGATTGGCCCAACCCACACAATGATTTATCCAGGGACAATGATGATCCATTTTCTTAATGCAACGATTGCCTAAATAAAAATGATATAGAAATATATCATTTCTAGACGTAGAGTGAAGGATATAACGGATACTAACATTTCCGACAGTGATGTGAACGCGGCGCTTTATAACCTTCGCATATTTTACAATATTGTAAAAACTCGGTGGCTTTACTATCCTGGAAAGCATAAATAAAGACTTGCATTGCATGTTGAATTTTTGTTTTTTTTTAAGGTATATTAGCAGCTTATATTTATAATATTTTTAAATGAGCAAATAATTGCATTTTAAAGAAATCATTCGCCACCATTTCGATTACGGACACGCGATTTTCTTAACGGAAGTAAGTGTACAAAAAGGGCTCAAGAAAGGTTTTGTTTATTTTTTGTAAAGAAAATGTGCTAAATATAATTAATTGGGAAACTTACTACTTTTCAGTCAACTTAACAGTAATTACGCGATTTTATCAAAAAAATTTTTTGCTTTTTCACACGCAAGTTATTTTTTGACGTTAGCTTACCTGCGGTTGCCATTGTTTGGGTAATGTACCCGGACCTATTACAGTCGCCATCACATAATTAAATGTGGCCGCTGAAGACAGCATTAAAAAGAGTGCTTGATTTAGAAAAGCAAATATGGATAAATTTGGCGGCCACCACATTGAATTCATATACAATGTAGTTAATGTTATGCATTTTATTATACCTATAAGTAGATATAGTAAGAAACGAGTAATTATTTTTGCGAAGAAAATTTCTTTTTTTTGAATTCCTCAACACCTTTAACTAAACTGAACATTTTTGATGGTATCTTTAAATTAAGTAATTAAAATGAGCTTCGTCTGCCGCCATTTAAAGCTTATTTTACACACTCACACTACACTTCACCTATATTGGGATAGGTCATTAATAGGTTAATTAATTAGCAAATAGTCGCTGAAATAATCCCCTTGACATTAATTTGTGTGTTTATTAATAATCAACTAAGGATATAAACTGCTTTGCATTCATGACTTCGTAATTTTCAAAAGAGTTTGACGAGCTTTTTAAAAAATGAACTTGTTTTTATTAAAAACCAGATAAATAGTGCACTGATAATGAACAAGTTTTGGATTATTCAAAGTCCACGTGCATTCCATAAATTAACGTTCGTCAGTTTGCACTTTCGTTCGGTCGATTTTGTTATAGACGTCATAAAAGTGGCTTCCGTACACGTTTTATCTTTGAACATAATCCACTGCTCTAAGACCATAAAACTCCCGTTAAGCTCACCATTTATATCAAGTACAGATTTGTACACTTAATCAAATGGAGTTCGCGTAGAGTCAAAGATTATAACGGAAAGCTTCAATTTGTAAATATATCCCCTGCTAATGACAATAAATTAAAAATGATTTGAAAGTGTGTATTTGCTCTTACAAGCCTCCAATCTCTTTTAGAATTCTCTTCTCCTAAACGACTTCCTTCAGCGAACCAAAACAAAAGACTTCTCCCGCCATAAAAATTAACATTTAAAAACTGAAAAATAATAAATACACGTTAAGGGATAAAAGATCAATCCAAAATCGTTTTATGCCAGTAAGCAATGTCCATTAAATCATAACTCTTTCATTCTACTCTACATATCGTTAATACTTCGCCTTCTCCTCAAGTAGTAACCAGCTTTTACCTACAATAATGCGACAGTGAAATACATCCAGAAAATGGACTTGAAGTGTATGGCGACTTCCAATCAAGATGTCTTGTTATAAAGTTTATGTGCAAATATTGTAGCGGCTGGTAAATAAAAATTCATCGATTTATTAAATTATTGCTTAATACATATCCTAGAAGAAAATCCATACAAAACAAAAAAAAAAAACATTTTTTTTCTTCTGATAATTTTTATACACTCACTTAAGGCTGTTATTGGACCCCAATGCAAAAATCTACGAAAGCCCGATAATTCGGCAGACATCATTTTCTTATTTAGTTATATATACATATATGTATAATTAAATATGTTTATTTATGTATGTGTATAGTTTTGCACAATTTTCTTAAAGAAAAAGAAAACTTTTCTTTATGGAAATATCAAAAAAAAAAAAAAGAAACTATAAGGAGAGAAGAACACACCAGCAGCTTGGAACAACAATAACTGACTAAATGAGAGGAATAACAAATGTAGTAAAATGTAGTAATGACAACTTAACGCTTTCAACTACGTAAGAGACTGTCTGCATGTGTCGTAAATAATATTTCCACGGAGAAGGAAACACATCTTTAATAATATATTGAATATTTAAAGAAACTATAACGCTAATACACATATATTGTGAGAGTTTTTCAAAAACTAATAATTATAATATTTTAAAATACAATGACACGCGATCATTAAAACTTGCATATATTTAACTTATAGGATATTTGATTTTATTATTTCTCGGATCGACTTCGTCGTGGTTTTTTTGGTTTCGGCTCGTGTTCGCTGCAAAATTCAGAACTATGTTGGGTCGTTTCTTTTTCATTTTCATACATCCACTTATCGTCGCCATTTATACGTCTCATTCCCAATATATCGACTAAAATGCCGCGAACTGATTCATGGGACATGTTAACACCCCGCGCTATCTCTCTTAAGCTTAGGTGGCGATTTTCTAAAACCATTGTTTTGATTTTATCAATATTTTCCTCATTGGACGATTTTGAGGGTCGACCAGAGCGAGGCAAATCCTCAACGACTTCACGACCATCCTTAAATGCTTTGTACCATTCATATGCTCTTGTTTTCGATAGAACAACGTCGCCATAGGCCTTTTCCAACATTTTCAACGACTTTGCGCACGAGAATCCACTGGACGCACAAAACTTTAGACAAATTCTTTGTTCGATATTTTTATCCATAATAAAAAAGCCAAAGTGGAGCACAAACAGCTGTTGTACAAGATCCTGGAAATTAATACCACAATAGCTTAGCTGTTTTATGAAATATTTATTTTCATTTTTGAAAATACCGATTGCGGATCGAAATTGTTGAATTATATATTCCCGGTATTTTTTTGACAGAATTTAATTCTTTATTTATTACTGAATTATTTTGGCGAAGAAAAAAGGGAAATTCGCTTTTGCTGATATATCAAAAAGCTTAATAAGACGAGAACACTAAACAACTCACGACCATAATAAATAGGCAACTAAATGAGAGAAAATGTAAATGACAATTAATTGTTTTTGAGCAGCACACGTTAAATTGTCGTTTGCACTTGCGATGAATTACATTGCCTTCGAAAAAGGGTCACATATTGATATATTTATAATTAAAATAAATATAAAATATGATAATAAATCCATTGAAAAGAAAAATTTAGAATTATTACATAACATAATGGTATTTTAATTTACTATGTATAGTATTAATGTATACTAATAATAAAAAAACTCCGCAAATTAACCTATGTTGTTTTTTTTCGATCGACTTCGACGTAGCTTTTTCGCTCTTGGTTCGATTTCAGCACAAGACTCAGAAGATTCTTGATTACCTAAATCGTCGCTCTCGCACGTCCACGGATCGTCACCGTTCATGCGTTTCATGCCTAAAACATCGACCAGAATACGTTGAGCCGATCCGTAAGATATGCTAAGATTATTAGCAATTTTCCTAATGCTCACATTGCGATTCGCAAGCACAATTTTTTTGACTTCTTCGACATTTTTGTCGGTATTCGAAGTCGAAGGACGTCCCGAGCGATGTAAATCGTCAACAATTTTGCGACCATCTTTGAAAGCCTTATACCACTCGTATGCCCTTGTTTTAGATATAGTAGAAGTTCCGTAGGCTTTTTGAAGCATTTTTCTGGCCTCTGCGCACGAAATTTCGCTTAATACACAAAATTTTAAGCAGTGCCTCTGCTCGACATTTTTATCCATTTTAAAAGCCGACAATGATTTCAAGTCTTAATCGCAGCTACACTAAATGAACAATCCGTCGAACAGCGCTCAAATTTAGAAAGAAAGGGTGTGTTTGGTCAAGTCCCGATACTTTTTCACCGAGAAGTAAATTTTTTACATCCGTTTGAAGCTGTTATCAGACCCCAAAGTGAAGGGTTTAGGAAATGCAGATTACTTAGTTGCGATTATTTTCCTTCTATATAGTCAAACTTTTGATCGAATAATTAGAGTATTATTTCCTTTAAATATGTAACACTTGTTTTCATTGAAAAGCAAACGAAATTGCAATAAGATAACCACCAATAGCTTCGAACAATAATAACAAACTAGATGAGACAAAACATAATACAGTAATGACAATCCAATGTTTCCACGCTGTAAAGAAGGCTGTTTAAAAGCGATATTAACGGGATCCCCAGTGAAAAGAGAAAGCAATATTCTCAGAGGAAAAAAATTGTGAAACAATTTTAAATTACGCTTTAGTGATTAGATAAATAATTGGGAAACTAGTTGTGGTAGTAGTAGTAGTAGTAACAATGCCAAGCAACTTCACGTTTGGAAGCCATCTGTCGGAGAAGTTATTTTCATTCAAGTCGCAAGAAAAGGTCGTAGCATAGTCATATTTGAGGACGTTATTGAGCGCACCTTGAAATACTAGAAAAAAAAAAATTATTTTGGAAAACTAATAAGCAGTGACAACATCATAGCCATACCCTACTTTACATAAATACGTAGGGTTTTTAGCAATGTTCACTCTCGCGTGTAAACGATGTGTGTTTGAGTGGAAAAGGCCAATTTCCGACCAAAAAAAGGCACTGTTTTATTAATAAAGAGTTAAGCTATTGCAAAAATTTTACGTTTTTCTGTAGGCAATGTAGTTTGAAAAATACTGCAAAAAATTTGAATGAAAATAAGTAACAAAGTTATATTCGACGGAGGCCGAATCTCACATACCCACTACATAAATGCTTGGTCCACTTAAGATTCGGGTTTTTCTAAACACCTCAAGACAAACAGTTTATCGCGTTTTACTCTTCAACCCCTTTCATATGATACCTATAGCGCAGGTATTTTTAAGAAATCATTTATCCACCAAGTCGTGACGTCTATCACAATTAACTTAGAATCGGCACATGTCGCTTCTTGAATCCTACTCTCCAAATCCGTTTATGTGGTACCCATATTTTCATCTGAGGAATGTGAAAAACAGTTTTAAACATTCCGTCATGTTTGCCTTATGACAAGTGTCCAGAAAAAATAAAATTTAATCACATGTTAATTTGTGTGGGCATGGCCGATTCTTGCGTATAAATAGCAGAGTTTCTCATATTGTAATTCTACCTTTTATAAACTGTGAGCAATGAGTAAAAACCCATGAATTTTTGTTTAGAAAAATGGAGTTGTCTTCAGTTTACACTTTACTGTGGGCTTGTGTTCTCTTCAATTTGGCCCATTTTCAATACCAACCTGCGCGCAAAGGTTGCCAATGTTTCTACAAATTTTAAGTCGATATTTTCACTTTTGCGATTAAGAGAGTGTCAACAATACACACCACACATGTGGACAGACATGGCCAAATCAACTTAGACTTTCACGCTGATAAAGAATGTATATACTTTATGGCGCCTCCGAACCATCTTTTTGAAACATAATTTCCCCATCCTTTAGGGGTGGGTATAAAAATTAAAATTGTTTGAGTTTTGCTGCCCTCCATTTTGATGAATTGTGTGTCGAGACAATTTCGCATTTAAACATGTACAAGACGCGACAGACATGTTTTTCTATTATACGAAATTTTTGAAAATTTTCTTGGATCGGCTTGTGATCCGAAAAGCATAAAACTGCCCTTTAAGTTCATACATTCCTTTTCGTTTCCTTCGTCTTGCCTTTTTGAAAACGCTTCCCTTGCTGCATCTGTCAAAGAGAGAAACGCACATTTTTCACTTTATATGTTGCGAAATAGTAAAGAAAAAGATCAGAAAATATATAATTATATAGACGAATCCCTAACCAACTCCCAAACTTTTAATTTCTTGGCAGAAGTAGTGAAAGCTTCGGAATGGCTCTTAGTCTCATGTCCAGTTCAAGGTTACCTTGTAATGCCAAAAGATAAGGTATTAAGCTGCAGTTTTTTAGCTGCAATTCATGTGACGCAAGCATTCTAGCCGGAGTGCTTGGAAGATAATTCGGAGTTTTCATAAAAAAATTGTTTTTCGGTTAGTGGATTTTTTTCCAAGTATTCTAGAAACCTCTATTAAGCGTCAAAAAAAAATAATTTTTTGAAAAATTTACAGTGCTTTACCCCTTTAAGAATATGGAAAGCTTAATGAACAAATTCCAGTATATGAAAAGCTGTTATTATTATTATTATTATTATTATTTAACCAGAGAACAGAACTTTAAGACTAAACTTTTGAAGCGCTAGTATTCTAAAACTAGCATTTTTATTGAAAACTTTACCGCTTTTGTGATTTTAACCACGACCATTGAGTTGTTAGTCGAGATTCTTTGTCAACTCGGTCACTCAGGCGGATAAATAGAAAAAATAGGGATTTACTTGAAGTGTCGTGCTATAGTACTACAATACATCAACAGTACCATCAGCAAAAAAATTCAAAGTGTGAATATAAAAGACCCTTCACATAAGTCAGGTTAACAAAGAGAAAAAAATTAACGTTAAATACACTGTCAAACACGAGATTAAATCAGCCAATAGGCTATAGTGCCTCATTTGCATAATCTTCTTACCTCTAGTGCTGGGTGCGAATCACAGTTTTCCTCGTAGGTATCGAGCGCGCCTTGTGCAAATAATTTTATGCAGTAATATCAGCGCTCTGTGCTGGAGCCCCAAGCAATCGAAGAATGCATTCTGAAACGCGACGCCGTCTTTTTAATTCTCATACGTATCGCACCGCATTGTTGACAGCGACTTTCAATTTCCGAATCGCAGCTAGGCAAGTCTTGGTCAAGAGATATGTTATATCCAGTAGTGTGCTGCTAGGGGTTACTCAAAGACTGCGTAGCTTAATGTTGGTGTTGGCAGTAGCACTATTGTCTCGATTACCCTATGTTAACTTTGTGTTCATACATATAGCAAGGTTATCAGCATGTTGAACGAGCTTGTTATTTATAATTAAGTCATCCTTAATACAGGGAATTTCGTAATGGGATCTCGCATATTATGCGAATATTTGCCTTTATTATTGTTTGTCCATAATTCCATTTTCTTCAATAACTTTCACTTTTTTCATTAACTAAACTCTGACTCAAAAGAAATGTTGATGATATTTTATTAAGAACATTGGAAAATTCAGAAGTGTACTTGTACTTATGCCCTACACTGTAAATTGAATTTTACCTAAAGAAATGAATATCTAAAATGTCAGAATCTATTGAAAAGATTCTGAAAAAATTTTCAGAAAATTTATAATCATTTTCCTTTTCTCATTAATTTTTGTAAATAATTAACAAAATTTGGGCTTCTCCTTTAAAATTTATTGAAATTAATGGATGAATATTGCAAAGAATTCAAGTTTTATGAAAATTAACTCATTCGATTAAAAGCTATGTAATGCACCGATAAATATTTCATATTCATACGTTAACCTTACGGTCATGTTATTTAAGAGGGCTCCCAAACTTGAGGACTTATAAATCAGCCGATCCGTTTAAGCAATTTTTTCCTAATCTTCTTGGCGAAATCATGGAGCAGAAGGTAATTATTTTAGTGAGTAAGCAACTGGTGCTTTTGCCGACTTCCGCTTAAACTGCAAATTTTTTTTTTTTTTTTTTTGTTAAATTGGGGCATACAAGTAAATGGTTCAACGAAGCGATATGACCTAACCTAAGTTGAGCGATTGAATTCTTCCGTTTAGCTTCGTTATTGATTCTTGGTATTGAAAATGTCCGACCGCACGTTTCTAGAAAAGTGCACATACCTCACAATTTAATTCATTTAATGTGTCCTCGCAAAAGCCATTTTGAAAAACTTCTCGTCAGAAATTCGCTATTCTGCAGTTAGATAGATTTGACGAAGAATATCGAACAGGTTCGACAGAAAAGTATATTGCGTTGTAGAGTTTTTGCAAAAGAATTGTGAGGAATGTGGTTAATGACTACGACACTTTGTTCACTCATTCAATTGGCTAGAACACGGAGAAGCCTAAGGTGAAATGTAAGCGAGTACTCCAACCCGTTCGATGGGCAGACGCAGCTACCGAGCAGCTGTTACAATTAATTGCGGACGAAATTAAAAAACATCCATCATCATTCGATGTGCAGGTAGGTATTTTTATTACATTTAAACTCCAATTTGTACCGTTACCTAAATTTCTTAAGCAGAAATACATAGCGCAACAGTGTTGTGACAAACTCTCTTCGAAGTATGCGCACCCGCACAAGCCATCTTGTTGCTGCCAGAAGAATAGATCACGATGTTATAAGATCCATCAAATGAGTGCACGAAAGCCAAGAAATGAAACTGTCACAGGTGAGAGAGTTTTCATAGGTGAAGCGAAATCTATTTTCCTTAACATTTATTATTGTAGACTCGTCCGACAAAGTTTTTCCTTGTTATGAAATTTTGAATAAAACTGCCAGTGTTAAATTGAAGGCGGACGACCTGGTTTTTTATATAAACCCAATCACAAACGAAATTTTAGATGAGGGAGCTTTCAAAGCTTATAGATCCACGCCTGAACCAGAGTCGGAAATGAGAAACGATGGTGGCGGTACAAGCAATGTCCCTGATTTCATGCTTTCAAAGGAAGAAATGCAACTCACAAGTGAAACATTGCGAGAAGATGATCCAAAGCCAAGCCTCTCTTTCTCGGCTTCCGTACCGAATTTGCATATGTCGACAATGGTAATTAATAAAAACTTTTTTGATAACTCTGTACTTGACAATAAGGATTAGAAGCGGCACTACTTTAAAAGGTTTCAATTGAGAAAGACAAGAGGGAGGGAGAAAAACGTATTAGATTCAGGGTTTACTCCCTTAAGTGTAGTATAAATATAAATATAAATGATAATATAATAAAATTTTCAATTAGTCTTTAGGAGGCCCTATAATAAAGAAAAAGTTGTCGTTTCAATGGACAGAATCGGTTACGGATCATTTTCTAAATTTAATTACGGAAGAGATTGAAAAACATCCAGGTACCTTTGAGGTAAGTTGTTTTATAAACTAGTACAACAATAGTGTCCGCTATAGAACTTTTCATACGCAGAGACCAACGGAACAGAAGTTTTATAAAAATATCTCGGCAGTTTGTCCTCAGCTGAAAACCGTACATTGGACTGCCCTAAAACGTAAGATGGAAAGTTTTCAAATATCTTACATAAAAGCGCGATTATGGAGAAAGGAAATTGGCGCTGCCATGTTGGCTAAAGGGAACGAGGAGGCTGTAATAGGCAAGAATTATAAATCATTCGTAGACTTGATGCCGACACCTTTCGCCATAGACATTTGCTAAAGTAGATCAAACAACGTCACGTACCACCTTTCAGACACATATTTCTCAAACACTATTCAATTTATCAGATTGTCAACTCGTATTTACACATGTATTGGTAAACCTCTGAACCATAAATCTCTTAAATTCGATGTTAATCTATTAGGTTCGACCGACCAATTCCCTTAATTAAAAATCTGTTTTTTTCACAGACTATTTAAATGAAATTTGTCCTTACTACGACATTTTGGATAAAATTTTTGGTCCGAGCTTAGAGGACGAAATAAACGCATACAAGTTCTGTGTCCCATTGAATAACAATACAAGCGAAGATGAATTTAAAAAGACTGAACTATCGAGTAATGATGGGTCGGATATTTTTAATAACGCGAATCGATTAAATGAAGATGATTCAGATCCAAAAATCAATAAAGCACCTTCACTACCGAACATTTCGCAATCAGAACCCGAGAATCCACAACAACAACAAGTTCAGGCTCGTCCGGTGTCACCTAAATTGTTTTTAGATACAAGTTTCTCTTATCCCTCATCCACGCCAAGCAAGCACACGGCATCGAGACAATCTGTCGGTAAAAAATCCGCTTCACAAATGATAATCGAGAAAAGGAAAATAGAAGTTGAGCATGAGAAATTGCAATTGGAACAAAAGAAATTCAATTGGCAATTGGAGAAAGAAGGGACTGAACTGATGTTAAAGCAGAAAGAACTCGAGCATCAGTTCGAATTGAGAAAATTTGAATTGGCTAAAAGCGAAAGAATGGAAAACGCGAAAATGAAATTGCAGATGGAGCATGAAGAAAGAATGAAGAAATATGAAATGAAAATGAAACTTCAAAATTTAAGTGGACTATAGAAATGCATTCTATTAACCTATCACTCTTTACTCTCTACCGAGAGAAGAAATAAATATTGCTTATAGGGTATTTTTTTTTCCTTTTAGATAAGATCAGAGCCGCCATCCAAGCATTTCTATAATTTCCTTATTTCCTATATCAAAATTTGTGGAATGGTAAGTAATGTGGAAAAAAACTTTAATTTGACCGGTACATTAATGTAACGTAGGACAACGTTCGCGTTATGAGTGCTCGATGAAAATTGAGCGAAGGATACAATTAAAGTTTATTTTATAGCTCTAGTACGTGATTTAGCTATTGAATTTTACAAAAATGCAGAATTATTTAAGAAAATGTTGCCTTGACGCCCAACACAAATCTTCTCCTAGTTTACACAAAAGCTTCAAGCAAAGCCTTTTTTTGATTATATATTTTTTCTTTAAAAGATGTCTCACTCAAGCGATGTCCCATAAAACGGTGACATGGCAATGGTGAGAGAGAAGTGTGTGAATGTGTGCTTGCTACGTCTTAATCATATCTGCGACCAAGTGCGCTCTACCGCAGTGAGCATTAAACCTACGAATACCAAATTGGTTGGTTGCGGTATGAATCGACGAGGTTATATTTGGTGGAGGTAAACTTTTTATTGCATCACTCACGATTCTTCACATATTTTTGCTATCTTATACAAACTTGTCTCATCATATAACGGACCCTAGAATATATCCAGCCCCATGTGGTTCAATCTAGCCTCACAAATTTATAAGTTAATTCAGTACTATGAACCCAATTGGGATAATAAACTGCTAAGGCCTTGCTGCACTATGAAAACATAAGGAAGTATTATTTTTTGTAAGTACTTTTATATGAAAGATGGTTCAAAAAGTGGTCTAAGAGTGTTCTAGCGGTTTATTTATTTTTTTTTTTAACAATTTTTGTTGGCAAATATGAAAAATGGAAAATTTTATTTGCCATGTAACGACTTTTTGTTAACAACCCATAACATGGAGGGTGATGATATTACAAAAATCGTCCAATCGAATTTTTTTTTCACTAACAAATCTTCGGCCCTGAAAATACATTAATAAATACAGGCGTGCATGCAACCGCATAAAGTTGAAATAGCTTAAGCATGCAGTCTATGGAGTAGAGTGGGGACGAGCATACGATTTCTGTGAATTCTAATCACTGTAGCCAATGAAAAAGAGAAACGTTTAATTGAAAACAATTTTCTCGGGCTTATAAGTGCCGTTGGGTTGAAGAAAAAGAAACTGTAAAACGTTCCTCTCCGTTAAAAAAAACCGCTCCAAAGTACTACAAAGGCACATGCACCATGTAACCGTAAGCAAAATTTTACAGCGATTACGGTTTGCTACCTTCTACTGGGGAGCTTTTAATCTCAAGCGACGATATGCCAAGCAATCGTTACGCTTGTTATTTAAAAAGAAAACAAAAAAATCGCATCACCGTTGTTCCAAAAAGAAAGGCTTAAAAGAAAGGAAAAAAAACAAATTTTCGTAGCCTATAACAATGGATGAGCGCAACTGATGTTTTTTAATTTCCGAATAAAAGCAAAAATTTATGTTATGTATGTGTCTTCGTTGCACAGGCCTGTGAGCCATGTAGGCGTGTCCTTTGAGCGGTTTGGATCATTGTTAAATTCTTTTGCAAATTTTTAGGCGACATCTTTATTTTGTGAACGGGTGAATGTTTACCGCAGAAACTACACAGTTGATCGAGGATATATTCGCTTGGTGTTTTTGGGATCTGTGAAAACTTCCTACTAGGCATTGCAAACCCTTTGACAAAGGGAACATACCACTCATTCTTCGGTTATGCGTATAAGAAGCTTAAGTCAGGTGCTGAAAGAACGAATTTGGGAATTTGCAGATTTTTCCCCCCGAGTAGTTTCGAATTGTTTTTTTTTAGCGATTAATATATGTACGCGGCATATGTTTGAGGAGCCATCTAATATGCGCACTTTTGTGCGTCTCACTTATTTTTACAGCTACATTTATATTACGAATTATTACTTATAGAAAATGTTTCATGCTTGAAGTGTTTGTGCGAACGATTGTTAAAGGATTGCAGACATAATAGAAATATTTGGAAAAAACGTTGGAATTATCGATAACCTACGACGAATGGTTTTGTCGTCACTCATCTTTTGTAACTTAGTATTCATGAAAACTTGTATATTTACGAGCTTGTAAATCAGCTAAATTATGCAAAGAGTTTACTCAAACAACATTCAATATCTATTCATTATATTATCTATGAAAGCATTATCTTTATCTGCAAGAACATTTTTATCCATAGAACAGATGTTTCGTGTATTCTTCGCGTTCTTTTTATAAAGATATTTCATAATAAAAGAAGAATTCGCTAAAGGTGTTCGCTGTTGCAGTAAATTAAGAGCAAATTAATGTATGTAAGTAGTGGTTCAAATTTGCGAAGAAAATTAATTTTATTTGAAACTTTTGAAGATGAGGCGTAAACGCTTGAACCCGATTTTTCGTTGGGGTGAAAATGTCACAAAACAATTGCTTACGTTAACCTTGGACGAAATTAAAAGAAATTCAGCGGGTTTTGAAGTAAGTTTTTCCTCGTTCTGGTGCTCTTTTAAAACCATTGCGCTAAGTTAGTTACCTTAAATGTTGTTTATGCAGAAACCCACCGCTCAAAAGTTTTATAAGAAAATTTCGGCGAATTCGAAATCATTGCAGATGACAAATTGGAGTTCTATGAAAAACAAAATTCGGAATTGCAAAGTTTTGTATATGAACGCCAGGAAATGGAAGCAAGAAACTAATAAGTTGTCGAATGATGAGGAAGTGATCAAAGGTAAGAAAACGAAACGTGCTTCATAGACATTCGTGCTTAGTGTTTGAATCAATTTCCATTGATTTCATTGTTCATATCCAAGCAATGATGTAAATGTTCTTTCTGGAGAAAGAGAAAGTCACGCTTGAAAATAGCTTGGAAATTGTGCAATTTACATTACCCGAAAGCCAAGCCTGATTTAAGAGATCTTTGTTTAATAGCGAGAGGTGTAAAGGACAAACAGGAGTAAGAAAGTAAATGCTTTTGACACCATTTACTTAATAATTTTTCATTTTCGCCCTCAATTCCCTGTCTAATTAGAAAGATTGCAGTTGAGACAATTCGCTGCTGATAGTTTCAGTAGATGCGTGAAATTCATAGTAAGCTGAACCTTTTACATCATACTGCCAAAGGAGCCAATAATCGGTTTAATGCAAGTCGGGTATATAGCAAGTAGAATACAGCTGATCTTAGCTCAAATATGCTTTTGAGTTCAAAAACTTTTATTATTGGATCAATTTTTGGGATTTGACACAAAAAAGTATCACTTTCAATCGTCTGTGGATGTTTGGATGCTATAACTTACCAATTTTTAAGACTCCTGCTCTTCTATTAAACCAGCGCTTTTTATTTATCTTCAAATTTTTTTTTTTTTAGCCTCTTTTTGCCTTCTTTGTTCGTAATGTCCATAGGACCGCTTTTGGGTCAGCTAATAAGCTTTCTTTACCCGTTATGATTATTGATCGTATTGGGTTATTCGGAAAGGCATTTCATTTTCTTAGTTTTAATTTACACATTCCGAATTTTCGGTTGTTAATTTGCTGAATAAGAGAAGAAGAAGAAAAAGATATTATCTTCTAGACCTTCCTTTGCAAATCAGTTGTGGCACTGGTCTTCTATCAATGCATCTTCTTCATACACATTCAATGATTTTTCCCTTATTTAAATACTACATTTATTTTATCGATAGTAAAAGACACAAATATCTCGGATATTGCTGTCGGATAATGCTATTCCGTAGAATTAACCGAACAAATCCTTTCAAAAACACACCTTGTTGGATTGGCTGTTAAAATATATAATGATACTTGGTTATGAATAAATCCAATTAAATCCATTGTTAGGCGCAGAAAGAAATTACTGTCCAAAAAACCTAATAGTTTAAAATAGTTACGTAACATATTTCGAACAACTTGAGATCTTGTCTTTTGAAAATGTTTCATTGTAAGACATCTTCATCAAATAAAATAAAGCACAAAATGGGGGCAATTAATTTAATTTTGTAAATATTTTTATATAGAAATATGTACTTTATTCATGTTTTATCCGCCTGAGTCGCCGAGTAAAAACACGATCTGAACTAACAACTCAATGGTTCGTTCGATAGCCTTAGATATTATTACATTAGTCTTCGAATTTATTTCCCTGGGCTAAATTAATAATAGTGATAATGATATATATTTATGCCTCACAGAATATTTACACAAAATCTGTCCTCATTACGATATTTTGGATGAAATTTTTGGTGCCTATCTAGAAGATACATTTGATTTTTCTGAAGATACAGAAACAAATGACAATGCCTGCTACAATGATTTTAAAGTCAGCGATCATTCGAACACTGAAGAGTCGCAAAGCAATCTCGATGAAAGTCTAATCCAAGATGATGATCCATTAATGGCGTCCAGTTTTGTTGCTCCAGAGGCAAATACGGAAATTGCAGATACACAGACAACAGTAAACGATAGAAAAGTTTGTTCATGTCGTTGGAAATTTTGGGCGAATATTGAAGAAAGCAAACTAGAAATCGAACAAAAGAAACTAGATTTCGAGGAAAAAAAATTCGAATGGCAATTGGAAAGGGAAGAAGCTGAATTGGAATTAAAAGAAAAACAACTCAAACAACAATTTGAACTGAGAAAACTGGAATTAGAAAAAGAGGAGCGATTAGAGACAGAAAAGGTCAAACTGCAATTGGCACAGGAAGAAAGATTAAAGAAATATGAAATAGAAATAAAGTATCAAAATTCGAATTTTTATTTATTGCATTTTTTAATTATTAATTCATTAAAAAGGGTATAAGAAAAAAATATTGAATATTTTTGTTTTTTTCAATTCATTCTCATTTTCAATTTCATTTCAATGGAATAGAAATATCAATCCAAGCCTAAGCATTTATTTATTTATTTTTTGATCTGGGCAATAGTTATCTTACGATCCGTTTATTATTAGAATAGCGTCACTAATTATACCGTGTCAGGTGTGTTCGAAAAACAGGTAACTTTTTATTTTTCTCGAAAGATATTTATTCGTTAGTGTTTATTTTGCCACCTTCAAAGTATTGGATTAGACGTAATACACTTCTGCAAGCGGGTTTTTCCCAACCGCCGAAGAACCTCTAACATGAGCGTTTTGGTAAGCCCTTGAGCTCGTCCAGTGATGCGGTCTATATCACTTTAATCGTGGCAAAATTCCGTCAGTTTTGAGAACAGGGGAAATTGGCAGCGGGCTAAGTCCGGTGAGCATGGTGTTGTTCCTGGTCAAAAGATTACGAATCAATGCTGTGTGAGCCAGCGCATTCGGCTGCCATCGTCATTTAACATTTTAAGTGAGTTAGTTAATTTTATTTATCAGGCAAAATTTAATACAGATTCGTTGGTCCATTTTTTTCGATACCAAGAAATCTCCAAGCGCAGGAAAACATATCTAACATTTAAGCCTGTTAAGCACAAGCTAAAAATGCAGAATATCCTACATGTGCACCAACAGAATGAAAAAGGAATTCGAAAATCAAATCTACATAGCCTACAAAATTTGAAAAGTCACCTTCTTCTTTAAGCACGTCTCGTATTTTAGTTTATTCAGTTTAAGATAGTTACGCCCTGCATCGCTATTAGTCACTTAAAAATTGGTGGAACAGTTTAGCTGTCGATACAATAGGAGAGAAGTACATTTTGAAAATTGGAATATTTTTAATTGCGCTTTATTCCACACATCTTATTTATCGCGACATACCGCACACCTTAATTTGACGGGTTTATGATTGCAAGCTAAAAGTTCTGCGTAACGAATTAAATATCTTCAGATGTTACATATCACTTTGTAGTGATTTAATGTAGTAAACGTATGTATGAAGTCTTCTTTTCTACGACAAACCCACCTTGCTATTCTAGATGTGGTATTTTATATAAATTTATCCATATATATACCTAGAATGAAGACTGGACTGTGTTAGTAAGCCGGCCACAACTACTATTGTTGAAGCCGATTCTAGTGAACGTGGGGATGACAGATCTTCAAAAATATCTTAGAATATTTTGAAAATAAAATGGAAATAAAATTTTATCGTTAAATGTGGACCGGACGTGCAGTCTTGGCAGTCATTTAGAAACACTTGGCAGTTTTTTGAAAATATATACACGGGATAAACGAAAACTTCAAATAACTGTCGATGTTTTTCGAAATTGTTTTTTTCGAAATTGGTTTTCCTACATTGTGTACATGTATGTGTTTAACCACATATTACTCATTGATCGGGAAATGGCTTTGCTTTCAGCTTTCTATCTTCACCAAAGTTACCCGTCAAATTGACGGGTTCCGGTAAAAATAAATATATACAATACGTCGGCGTATGTAGTGCTAACTCAACAAAAAGAGAGAAGAAAAGCAATAGATGTCTCAAGTTACTATTTAAATTGAGTCATGTGACTACAAGAAGTCTTTAAATAGGTTTCGAAAGTATTGCAATATTAGAAAGCGGTAAACTATGGCCGTTGTTATCAACTTTTCATGTTTGACGAATTGTGATTGTCGAGCCCTTAAGGATCACACTTTCCGTAGCATAGGGGTTTTAACTATGCAATCAATACACTAATAGGTGTACAAATAAATTTTTTCCGTTGAAATTGATTGCTTCATAAAACACAACTTAAAGAGATGGATGTTACTCACGGCGCTGCGTTTTTCTGAGTTTTAACTGCGTTGACTGTAGGTAAAGCAAGGGATTTGATTACAGCGGCTTGCAATGAAAATAGATTAAGCTACGAACCAGTTAGGAAAGAATTTGCAAGGACTTTGGTTAAAAAACCTTAGCCATAGAAACGATGAAAATTCGCATATGTCCATCCGTTCCCAGCATAAGCAATCTAAGAAATAAGTTTCACCTTAAGCTGGGTAAGTTTATCGTAGCTGCTATATCCTCTACAGCTGTTTCCTTCTAATTAGCATAGTCATCTTTAGTAGGAAAGCGGTTCAATGAAGATGTGCGGTCTGGGATGCCTATTTCGCCTCCAAACGGGCAAGTTTCTATTGATGTAGCAACCATAAGCTCTCCGATAAATGGCTAAAGATCATAAAAGTTCATCAAAAACGCATGACACTGGGCGTGCTATTAGGATGCTCAATTGCGGCACCAAATTGTAAGGTGTACTTAGCCAGATTGCTTAGCCTCAAAGCCGAAATAATCGAAATCGTTCAAAAAGCTTAAGACGTTAATTATTCTTAATTATTATTTTTATTCTCACAATAACTCGACAAAAGAAATTAATTTAAGTAGATTTTCCAAGAACCCACTGGTATGTTGCAATGGTGTGATTTTTCTGATATCGATTAAATATAGAGATGGGACGAGAATATTATATCAAACCATTAAATATTTGAAAATTTTTGAAATAAAGTTTTCGGAAAATTGACATTTAAGGAATGACGAAATACCTGAAATATAATGCAGTAAAGAAATTTTATGCAGATTTTGTAGAAAATTATAATGAATTATTTTCCGCATTAAAACATTTGAAAAATAGACAATTTCGGTAACAAGTTGCTTAAAAATTAATGGATTAGTAGTGAAAATATTCACAAAATTTTAAAAATAATTGGAATGCACCGTTAGCAGTTTGAAATCCTTTCCTCAAACGCGACCATGACGTTCACACACCCTTCTAAATTTACCGACTGCTGCTCGCATTAAATTTTTCTTAACCTTCGCATAAAAAAAAAATTTCATCCTGAGTCAGATAATGCAGAGGCCGGAGGTGAACGAGGTAATTATTTGTTCGTTTTTCCTAAAAGCAAGAAATCCATATTATTAACCTCTTTTGGGTGGATGTTGTGAAATTCTTTTTTGTATATATGTAATAGTTTATTAGAAACTTATTACGCCCAGAATCTGTCCATACAGCATTGCTATCAAAAATTAATTATTGAATATTTATGACCAAGTAAATGTGAACAATGGATGTGGACAATTTTCCACATTTGTTCCGATATGTTCCGGCATCAAACTATTCTTTGAATGAAATCTCCATAGTGATAGGTAAAGGGATTTGCAATTTCCGTAAAATCCCTTCATGCAGGATGTCTATATAATATTCCTTCTGTGGGGAATTGACGAAAACACGTGTTCAACACGATGTAAGCCTTTTAATTGCTGCAAAATAAGCAATGAGCAATTAGCAATTGGACTATCAGAGTGACAGACGGACAGAATCAAAATAAATAAGAACATTCATTATGATGATCTTAAAAATATACAAAAAAAAATTGAATTAATTAAATTAGAAAGCAAAGAAAATTAAAGTGAAAAAGAAACGAGTTATTCCGCCAGCTCGTTGGACAGAGTCAGCTACCGAGCACTTGCTGCAATTAACTTGTTACGAATTGAGAAAAAATCCAAATGCGTTTGAGGCAAGTTTTTTTCTGAATTTTTTTTTTTCGGTAAAACTTTCTAACTATTCAAGCAATGACTATTCACAAGCAGAAACCAACAGCACAAAGATTTTATAGTAAGATATCCACAAAGAGCTATCATTTACGTAAGACAAGTTGGATTTCCATGAAAAATAAATTGAGACATCTGAAGATACATTACATGAGGGCTCGAAAGCTCTTGCATTTTGCAGACAATAAAGGCGACACAGGTAAGATTAGTTTCGCGGCCTCTTGTTGTTTAAAGTCCAACAAACATTCGTACATAATTAAAAAGATATTTTAACATCTATTTTACAGACTTTTTAAATAAAATTTGTCCTTATTATGATATTTTGCATAAAATTTTCGGTGTTCATCTCAAGAGGGACAACAACAATTTGAATAATAAATCGAGTGAAGGTGAATTTAAGGGTTTCGGAGAGTGGGATGTCAGAAATGGTGGCGGTTACACACATGTTGGCGCGGAATCAACGCAAACCTCCTTGACTTCATCGGAGTTTATCGAAAAGGTATCTCGTCTTGAGGCAGTACCGAATAGCTCGCATTCCTCTTCCATGCCGAATTTGCATACCGCAGGAACGGTAAATAATAAAACTTTGAACATTGAACTTTTCGTTTATTAGCAGAAAAAATGAAATTCAATTGCATTTTTAATTAAAGACGCTTTACGGGAAGCATAAAATAAATTAAAAACTTATCTGATTTAAATAAGTAAAAATTATTGTAATAAAATAAATGAATTTAGCTTTTAGGAAAATCAAAGTCGAAGCGTAAACATGAGTTTGAATGGACCGAACCAGCTTCTGAATTTCTATTAAAATTGATTCTGGAAGAGGTACAAAATAACCCAGGCACATTTGAAGTGGGTTTCTTTTTAAAAATGGAAATTATTGCTTCCCTTGTGACGCGTCTTTTTTTTTCCTTTTTTGTGTGCGAAGAAGCCAACAAGACCAGCGTTTTATAAAAAAATCTCTGCAAGTTGTCGCCAATTAAAGGATGCCAGTTGGATATCTATGAAACGCAAATTGAAGAATCTCCACATGGATTACCTAAAAGCCAAAATATGGTCAAGAGAATCGAATATCAATCAAGATCAGCAAGTTATTGCAGGTAAAAGCAATATCTTAAAAAGAATCCATGTAAAGTATCTCCTCTCCTATAGAGATCTTTATTTTATAAAAATTCCGCCCAAACAGCTCGGCTTCAAGGCGCCAAGTCTTCATTCCTCTATGTTCTGCCAAAATTAATTCGGCTAGAGCCGCCCCTATCTAAAAGCTTGCGAGTGAAACGCATATGAGTTCTGGGTTAGAATTTGCTCCTCTTTATTTCATCTTCCTTATTTATACTTTATTTCCTACCTCAATTGGTAAACGGGGCTGTTAGTCTCGAATTCCATTTCTTTTATATAACAAATTAGGTTACTATTGAGAATTCGAATCGTTTTTAAGTGAGTCACAATTTATTATTTTATTTTCCAAATTTGCAAATTTGTGTTTTTGACTCGTTATCAATTCTCAACTCTACAATTGATTCAGAATTAATACTGGTAACTATTCCTTTATCCGAGATTTTCAACCAATTTCAGTCTATGTGTGCGTGCGCCTATGAATTTTTCGGTTTCAATTCGATGATGTTTTGACAAAATTCCTATACTTTTTGCCTCAAAGAGGGATCCTGTGGAATACTGACCCTAAGGATACAGTCATTTTTATGATCATTCCACATCAACCGGGCAGTTGGAAGAAATTATTTCGTTACTCTTATTTCTCGACCAAAATAGTATTTCGGTATAGAAAATGCGGAAATTTTGTAGGGAATAGAGCAACATGGGTGTTGATCCTTACTAGGCCAAGACGTTATGCATTGCGGAGTGTAGACACAATAAAAACCATTTATTGCAAATAAAATTTCATTTTGTATTTTGAGCTGGTGTGCGTCTAGATTTGTACCTTGCACCACTGTATTCATAAATGAAATAAAAAAAGACTGCATCGACCTAAGCTTGTCTGTTCGTCCGAAGTCTGTCCATGAGGGTTCATATTCAATAATTCGCCATTTTGAACATATTCTGATGAAATTTGGTGTACTGACGTGCTTCGACCAAAGGACAAACTTTCTTAATTGTTCGGATCGATCCACTTTTTCGATCCCATATAACGCCTTATCTTGAAAAGTCGGTATATGTGGAAAAGCTTACAATTTTGAAAATATTTTGGCTCGACTGGGGCAATTTTTTGAAACCCTTCTTACATAAGCATTGCTATGAAAACTGCATTTTTGAATGGTGGAAAGATATAATTTTAAGTATTTCATGGTAAATATTGGTCCATATTAGCAACTTAGCAATAATATTAAAAGTGGTGTACCTGGCCCAGATAGGGCTATGTTCAGTTTTTAGTTGTTGATGACGAAAACTGGAAAATAATAAAATTTTTAGAAAATAAGTTAAGTTTGTTGAATTTGGATAACGCCACGTCATGCCTTCGGAATCCTGCAATGTGCGGGCTTCCATGAAAGGGGTATGCCTTTTGCATGGAACTAATGCGTAACTTTTGGTGTATTATTTATTACCAAGACGAATGAATAAGTAGACTAGACGAACTGGTGTAGAGTATCTAATGTCGACCTTGGCCGACTATAACATTCTTAATTGTTTCTTTCCATATTTAGCGTATTTCTTCTTTCTTCGCAGCGCGTTTAAATGAAATATGTCCTCACTATGGTATTTTGGATAAAATCTTTGCTTCCGACGGAGGAGAGCAATCAATCACGAATAGTGCAAACGAACAAAAGTTTAGCAGTGTTAACTTTTGGGTTAATGATGGCTTTGACGTTTCCGTTAGAGAGAGCGGACTGCAACAATGCGTCTCGGAGGCAACATTCATTGAAACTCCTGAAAAGACTGATGATATGGATATAGAAAAATTGGAAAACGAACGTGTCGGATGTTCTCATTTTGGTTCAAACTCAACATTAGGATTTGTTGAGCGTTCGCAGTCGTTTCCAGTTTACCCAGAGGAGTTATTAGTTTCCACACAAGATATACAACCGCCGAAGCTGTCGAGTCATGGAATCGGTACAAATACTTGCTTTTCTTGTTTGGCTTTCGAGAGAAAGAAATTGGAAGTTGAGCATCAAAAGTTGCAATTGGAACAAAAGAAATTCGAATGGCAACAAGAAAAGGAGGGAGCCGAATTGCAATTAAAACAAAGGGAACTTGAAAATCAATTCGAACTGAAAAGTTTGGAGTTAGCTAAAGAAGAAAGGATGGAAAAGGCCAAACTGCAATTGGAGCACCAAGAAAAAATAAGAAAATATGAAATGAAAATGAAAATCAACCATTTCAAAAGATCGTCCGGACATTATAATCCACACAGTTAATTTTCTTTTTTAATTACCAAGATATTTTTACACAAAAATATTAAATTCGGTTTTTTTTTTTTTTTTTTTCTATTTCATCTACAAGATGGAACATTTCAACCCCTCACACAATCGTTTTTCGGCAACGCATTTAGCAAAGTCTTGAATGCTATAGCATATATTGATTGCATAAATAAGTTCACAGACTTGACTAAACACTTGAAGAACAACTGCCTGAAATGTTCCATCTTATTCATTTTTGCGTTTGAACAATAAAATGACTGCTGGAATGTATACATTGTTTCATTACATATTATCCTGGTACAGGACGCACTGTGGATTTGTTAAATTTAACTAAAAATGAAAACACTTGTTCCTTACTTGTTCCTTCTTCTTTGCTTTCCTTATTTTTTTTTCCGACTGAGTGGCCGAGTAGACAAGAGTCTCGACTAGCAACTTAGTGGTGGTGGGTTCAAATCTCAAGTGCGGAGAGTTTTTAATGAAGCCGAAAGCCTTAGATGATAGTGCCTTAGTCTTGGAAATTATTCTCTGGCTAAATTAATAATAATAATAATATTTTTTTGAATTTTTTTTTACCTATGACTAGTTCCTTAATTAATAATTTCAAATAACATAATGTCGATTCTAGAGTACCAACATAGGATCTGGTGTAAAATATCCGAGATCGTCACATAGTCGACAAAGAAGTGCAATGCGCTTAATCGGTTGTAATTACTTAATAAAATGGGTGATACGGTTCGTGCTGTATTCACTAAACTTTTAGAGAGTATACGGCTACAACTTTAGACAAGAAACTGGAAAGTGCGTTAAGCCGCGTTACACAGCTCCAGTGAATCGTCCATTTTTGGGAAATGTTTCCCTAAATCATTTTATCAATTATATGCTCAGTTGCGGAAATTTTAAGGAAAATCGACTTAAAAAAATCTACTCCAGTGTTACATTACGAAGGAAAAGTTTTCGTAAAAAATATTGACAGTGAATCGAGTAATTTTTTGAAAACCGTTAAAAACGTAAACATATTTTTGAAATTTTGACCTTAGAAACGTTAAAAATTAAAACTCAGACGACATATTTAAAATATATTAACAATGCAGTAAACACTTTTGTCAACATTTTCTGAAAAATTTATATATCATATTTCACTTTTGACGTCGACAAAAATATTAAGCAAATTTCAGCCCGCGTTCCGTTAAAATTATTGAAATTAATGGCTTAGTACTAAACGAAATTAAAACTTAACCAAAATGTCCTCATTCCAATAAACGCTAAAGAGTACATCGGTCAATATTTTTTAAAGTGTCATTCCAAACGTTTGTTGAGCTTTGTTACTTTCCATGGTGCGCTAGATCCTGAGCAGCCCGGAGGACGAGCAGGTAAATAATTTTTGCATGTGATACGACTTCGTCTGGCGCCGTGTTATGCATACTCATTTCTTCGCTTCTTTAACATATTGGGGTGTATTAGTAGGCCTCTATGAGGACTCTTCAATACCTTTGAATGCCATATGAGCAGTAGCAAGCATTTCCGTTCCGAATCGTATTTCGATGAGATATGTAAATCCGGTTATAAATGACAATATAAGCGAAGAACTACGAGAGATTAGTAAAGGTTTCTAAGGATGGTGCGCGTAAAGATAATGCATGCAGGCATTCTATTCCATTCCATTCGACTTAAGGAATTAAAGCAAAAAGTTATGATTGACCTATTCTGAATAACGAAAATAGTTTAATAAAATGTACTTTCCAGTTTACGGAACCAAGCAGCAGCATTCAGTGACAGCATTCAGAAATAATCGTTAATAGAGAAGAAAGAAAAGCGGGAGTAGATTCAGACAGAATCTTAGGTAGAGAAAAAAGGAAAGCGGAAGTAGAAGTTGTACACGTGAAGGGATGAGAGCAAGCAGTAGCGCTGCACACATTGCGTTTCAACGCAAATGGGTGAATCACTAAGAAGCGCTCGATGGTTAGAGTAACTCGTTTCGCGTAAATCGAATTCGATACATTTTAAAGACGCTTTTAATTGCACTTATCTTGACCGCATGCTCTATTTTCAATTGACCTATTCCACATCTGCACATTTCCATCTTATCTGGACCGATGTTTTTATTATTACAGAACACATTTGAATACAATCGCTACGAATTTTTGTTCTACCCGACACAATGATTGGGACTTATCCAGGGCAGAATTCGGCCACGAGTAATACCAACGGGAATGAGTGTAGGCTAATCGATATTTGGGTTAATGATTGGATTTTAAATAGTCAAAGGGACAATAAGAATGCGCTACTTCAAGTCCAATCGGAGCCAACAATCAACACAACGTCTTCAATGCCGAGTATGGTTCTCATAGATTCGCAAACTGACGACTCACAACCATCCCAAGTATCTACAGATCTAATAGAACGGGAAACGGTTCTAGAACGAGCATCAAGTTGGACGGTTTGTTCACAAGAAAAAGAACACGTGTCAGCCCATCTAATGAGTACAAGCACTTCCACCTCTTGCTTCGCTTTCGAAAGAAAGAAATTAGAAGTTGAGCATCAGAAATTGCGATTGGAACAAAAGAAATTCGAATGGCAACAAGAGAAAGAAAGGACTGAACTAACATTAAAGCAGAAAACACTTGAAAATCTATTTCAACTGAAAAATTTGGAATTAGCTCGACTTCAAAAGATGGAGAAAGCGAAGCTTGAATTGGACCACGAGGAAAAAAATCTTAAATTTAAAATGAAAAAGAAAGCTTCCAAAAAACGAAGGGCCACCCATAAATAAACACTTTCTTTATGCCAATAATTTTTTGGGAACTTCCGAACAAATTTTCTTACAAAAAATCCCAGCGAAAATAAATAATTGGATGGTTTTTTTTTCTCTTTTTCAATTAATCAACGACCACAAAATTGTCTTGCAAATTTTCTTTAGTAATCTCCTTCTCTTATTTTTGAATACATCACTGCAGTGCAAGGTACTTCGGCGAGGCGTTCGTTTATATCGTATAAATCGTTTGAGCGCCCGTATGTACGCACTCGTACTCATACGTAGCGAATTCAAGACCCCAAATGGAGATTTATAAACGATTTTATTATTCCTCACCTACTTTCACCACAAAGTACAAAACATTAGATGTTGATGTACTATTAAGGAGAACCCTTGAGTAGATAAGGTTCAAAAAATACATATTCTTCGTCCAAACCAGCAACAGCCAACCATTACAACCATTGGATTGATTGTCACTATTTACTTTTAAATATGAGACCTTGTGGCATAGCAAACGTTTACTTTTCGTAGGTAACATTTAAAAAGTTAAAAAAATCGGTGCATTCGATCCAACTTTCCAGCGGTTTTGTCGAAAAATTTTGAAAATAGCGAATTTTGTTTATATGAGACATACATTGGGAGTGGTTGTGAGTAGCGATATGATCCACTTCCTTCTCAATAGCAATCGTTCGTGCGTCAAAACAAGTCGGTTCAACAGATTCAATCAAAAATTTGCAACATATAGGTTGAACAGAAAATTACATTGGCAGACATCGTGCGGGCAGACGAGCTGAAAGTTGTTCAAAAAATAATTCTGAATCGATCGGTGGAATATTAGGTGTGTAGGTATGGTAAATCTTTCAATGCTCGATATACCTCTGCGCAAGCTTAATGTGCCCTGTCCTCTAAATGGCGTAGAGTAAAAAATTAATCGATTGATTTCCTTCAAGTTTTTTTTTAAAATGAATATTTCAAAAGAGAAATCATAATAGCTAACAGCGGACACTGTCGATCACCACACATTAGCGATCGTGTTCTGATTTCGGCTGTTTTCAGCGCAATCAAAATGTAGCGCTCAGTCTTCTCTTGGCAACTGCGCTGCAATAACGCAATTCATGATCGTCCCTCGCACTCTTTATCTCCGCGCGGGACATGCAATGATTACCTGTACAAAATCGATACAGTGAGCAGCTCCTCATGCACATGTGAAGTTTTGCCATCTCTTGACTGTCTTCTATTTGTCTGCTCGAATATCGCCACATCCATTCGCCATTATCTACATGCGGCCTCCATGCTTGCAGCGTTTCGACATTGCACGCCAATCCTCTCTTTTTTTTAAAGCTTGTCAACGGAGCATATAAAACTATGAATCTACTTCTTCACTTACTGCATTAATTTCGCAAAATTTCAGCTCTTTGACGTCATCTCAAAATTGAGTGCAAAATAAATAAAGCCTCAGGACATTATATATCAAACATCGAGAAAATGAAATAAAAGAAAATAGTCTTTAAAACTGGGGAAAGATCACTTCCCGCAAAACATTACAGTTAGGTGGCGGATGTGATATATGTGTATACACACAGCTACCGCGAACCTTAGTAATGTTCAAACAAAAAGAACTTCATTTTTTACATTAAGCCGTTTTTACTCAACTCAGTAAATCATTTGTTCTTGATTTGCTCCCTCGCAGAATAAAAAGGTGAACAAGAAGAAGAAGAAGCTAATAGCTGTCGGAATTTGAAAGTTAAATATACTGACGTTTATCAAGAAGCAAAGTGTCCAAATTAGGAGAAAGTATTCAAAACATTTTATCAAAAGTTTTCTTGTCCACTTCTTTCACTTTTGAAGTGCATGAATAATTAACAAAATTTATCCGTTCCGTTGAAATTGTTGCAATTAATGGCTTGCGAGTAGAAGCAGTCAAATTTTAAATAAAAATAACATAATTCTATAAAAACTGTAGAATGCACCGTTAATTCAAATTTCATGTTCTTTCTTTAATACCTGGCCATGACATTGAGGAAGGCTTCTAAATTCGTGCCGAACTAATAAATTGGCTGAACATCTCAATATCTTCTACTACAATTTCCAGTGTAAATTAGATCATGCATAGACCAACAGTGGAACAGGTAAATATTTTCATTTTTTGAGGAAAGTAAGCGTGAAAATTATCGATGCAGTGACGTAAGCTTGGCAGACGGGGCGGAGGGGGTTGGCTCATAAATAAGACGGCGATAAATACTTGCTTCGTACATAACAGTGGCCAAATTGTATTGCAATATATGAGCATTACATCAGTGATTCCGAAGATTACGCTCCGCACCCTTGAGTCGAACGCATCTCTAAATGTCCACCCAAATCTCGATATAAAGTAAAAGGAATCAAAAATTGCGGCATATCACATTGATAACACGTTCTGAAATGTTTTCTGGATTCCTTCTAGTTCTAATAGAATTTCAATATGCCAGGCTACTCAAATAGAACGACAGACGTGACTAAAAAGGATAGTCGAACGGTCTCTAATGTCTCAGGGGTGGTTCGAGGGGGTAAATTAGTTTACGTTACACAAACACAAAAAGAAAAGTAAAGAGAAAACAATGAAAGCAATTTAAATGAATTCAATTAGTATTCAAAAAAGGCTAAATTGAAAAGTAAACGGGTTATTCCACCAGCTCATTGGCCAGACGAGAATACCGAGCACCTGCTATTGTTAATTTGGGACGAGATTAAACGACATCCAAGTACATTTGAGGCAAGTATTGTCTTTTTTTTTTTGTTTTTTCTTGATGAGTTGATCAGCTTTTTTATTAAAATAATTCCTCGAAGCAGAAACCCACAGCTCGGCAATTTTATTTTAAAATTTCGGAAAAGTGCCCGCAATTTGAGACAACAAATTGGGTTTCCATGAAAAATAAATTGGAAAATTGCAAGATTCATTATAGAAGAACACGAAATCTCTTAGGTAAAGAAGGCAAAACAACAGACACGGGTAAGATATAGTTTTCTTCTGTGCTTCTGTCTTACGTATACGTATTTATTGATAACAAAAAATGCTTCCTTTTTTTTGTTTTTTAAGAGTATTTAGAAAGACTTTGCCCCTTTTACGGGCTTTTGGATAAAATTTTTTGTGGTAATTTGAAACCGACGGTCATGAACTTCTTCGCAAAGCCCGTCGTAACAAACAAAGGCAGTGAGGGAGGTTTCCATAAGCCTGAGGTCGTAACTGGAAATCATAAGAATCAAACGATGGGCTCAACAGCACAATCTAGTCCTTCACGATTCGTGAATCCTTCTCCATCTCCGCTTTTCGCCGGAAGATCTCTCTCTCTTTCCATGCCCGATTTGCACACCCCAGGAACGGTAACTGATAAAAGCAAATGAAATTTTCCCTTGCGAAACTAGAAAAGTGCAAATCAGATTTTAAATTTTATGTAAAAATAAAAGAAAAAATTTTAAACTCACTTAAGGCACAGATATTAGCAAAAAGAGCATATGATCCTTACATCAAAATGTATCTTGTTGAGAGCACTATTCTTATTCATCTTGAAAATTTATATAATTTTCTACACTTAATATGACCGTCACTGATAATCTGATTAATCTATTTAGGATTTTAAAAAGCCTAACTTGGAGCCAGCTTTTGAATTGACACAATCGACAATTGGATGTTTAATAAAATTAATTTTGAAAGAAACCGAAAATCATCCGGATACACTTGAGGTAAATAAATTGCTTTAAAGTGAATGCAAAATATTGGGTTTCAAAAAAAATTGTACATGTAGAAGCTCGCAGAAGAAGCGTTCTATAAAAACATTTCTGCGAATTGTCCTCGATTGAAAAAGGCGGACTGGATGATACTAAAAAGCAAAGTGGAAAGCCTAAAAAACAGTTATATAAAGGCGCGTTTACGGAGAAAAGAATATGAAAACGTCACGTCGACTGATGAAAATCAGAAAGCGATTACAGGTAAGAACACTACTAGGAGATTGAACTAGGCTTACGGGGATTCTAATTTTTCGTTCATATGTAACCGCCTTTTTACATTTAAATTGCTTATATTGCCATAAATTGAATTAAGGCCGGAGCACTTCAAACATCAGTTATGGTTATGTGTGAGACAAACCAACGACATTCCACAAAAAGCACGGGCAACCACCGGCCCGCTTTCACATTAAATAATTCGCTCGCACATAGCTATGCAGCAAATATATTGTGACTGCCTCGACTACCGACTCATCTATGCAGTTGACAAATGTGAAATGTGACGGAAGAATTGGTACGAAATGCCGCACTTCTAAAAATAGTTGGAGCTTGTTCTAGCAACCGCCATAATATGAGAATTAAAATTGGCCTATTGTCGAAAAAACTTGTCTACCCCTACTCTAGAATATTAAAACATTGAAACGCTCTTCGGTTTCATATTTGTTTACCTACATACCGCAACATTACAAATCATTTTATTGCCTTTTGTTTATCTGTTGCCTTAATCTGTGCAATCGAATTTTGCAATGCCTTTAAAAATGAATTTGTTTCTTCTAGAGCCCGCGGATCCAACTTGTCCATGTTACGACATTTTGGATAAAATTTTTGGTCCTGGTTTGGAAAATTCTGATGCTATTACACATCCGACTGCTAATGATATAACAAATGAGCAGGAATTGAAAAAGACCAACCCGTTGTATAATGAAATGTCGGATAAATCCAATAAAGAGATTTGTCTGGGTCCAAGTGATTGTGAACAAGCAGCCAACAAAGCCCTTTCGATGCCCAATATTAGTATTGTTATAAAGTCGCCAAATAAGGCTGCACAACCATTACCCTCTACAGAAAAATCTACGGGAGTATTAATGCACAAAACATTTTCCACAAATTCGATATTCAAAAAAGGAGCAACAGTAGAAACTCCTCAAACCATTAGCTCTGGGGATACTGAACCACGCGAAAGGATATCTGCTGATGCCGCTTTGCAAAATGCAAGTGACGAAATTGTTTCAGATAAGAGCACCATATCAGGTAAAGCATTCATATCGAGATGAAAGTTCATGACCATTGATTAATTTGTTTGGTGAATTAAGGCCGACAATTTAATCCACATTGCATTAGATCCGACGTGAAGCATGAAGCTATATTTTGTTTACTACCGGTTTCCACACGAGGTGTTTTTCGTCCACATTAGTATTGATGTCTATGGAAGTCTTCGGTCATTGATTACGAATGCCAATTGAATTGTACACTTAGTTTATATTCATTCTCATTTATTTTTGATCAGTGAAGCACCAATAAAGCATACCATAAACCCACTCTTTTCTCCTGGTTTCCAAAACCAGTTGATATAAAGAAAGAGAAGGGCATACATTATTGGTGAAGGCGATAGATTCAATGTAAAAATGGACATTTCACAATGGGCACTCCTTTTAATGGAGTAATTGCGTATTTTTAATTGACATCTTAATGTAAAATGAAGAGCACCGGATCTCGTGGACATAACAAGTGAACATTGTCAAGTTTTTACGCTTAAGGGCTTTTCCTTATACGTGTGGGAGCCATGATTATCTGGAAAAATTATAAGTAGCCCGAGATTCTTCGGTGTTCTTGTGAACCCTTCTTTTGCAATACTCATCAGCCGTACTCTCCTTTTTTATTTATATAACTTTGTTTTTCTCTTTCAGAGCATGTAAATCAGGTTTATCGTTACGAACTTGCGGATTCAACCTTGGATAGTAAAAAGCGTAACGTCAATATCCCCGACAAACCAGTTGCAAATAATGAACCGTCTCAGGTGTCTAAGAATGACGGTCCATTAACTCAAAATCATCAGCCTGCAAAGATATCGGTTAAGGCTTTTTCTATGCCAAACATGCCAATCATAAAAGGGAAAAGTTATAACTCAGCAGCCGTGTTCCCTTCGCTTACACCCGCAGCCCAAAAGATGTATAAAAAAATCATGTCCAATTTCCCAGAGCTAAGAAAGGCTAAATGGGTAGCCATTGAAAGCCAAATGGAGAATTTTCAGAATATGTGGAAAAGACAGGCTGGCGCAGGCATGATTAGCGACAACGTAACACGGGAAGCCGGTACGCACATACTTACAAATCTTATATTTCAGTGCTCTTACAGAACGTTTTCTTTAAATTTATCTTCTTACTTTCGATTGTGTGTGATATCACTTAATGACGAATTAGGTCGATCCGTCTGTTAAGCACATGGTTAAGCACATGGCACTGGCAGTCACATTGATGTTCATAAATTCGGAAACGTTCGATTTAAAGCTCACTTCCCTCCCAGATTTTTCTTTCGCTAAAGTAAATCTATTTTTTATCTAAAGCTAAAGAATCCGCTTCCATTTTGTAACGTCCATCTGTCCATTTGTCCTTGAAGGCAGAAAACTAGTGCTTCGCACAGATCTTTAGTATCCACAGAAGTACAAGGCGTGAGAATGGCCGCGTTCACATCAAAGTTAACACCAACCAAACAGCGGATGAGTAACAATCTATCGCAAGAGCTGGTGCAGCCTTTGGTATAAAATATTTTGCAGACTACTAAAGGAAGAATGATGTTGATCGAGCAATATTTCATTTTATTAACAAAGGAGCAGTCCTGCACTCCTTCCAGCCACAATATGTGTTTATATTTTGCATGTATAGCTAAACTGTTTGGTTAAAACTTTGCTTACTTAAATTATATTCATATTAGCAAATAATTTAACTATAAATTTTTTTTAATTAATCTCCAGGAAATTTATTTATTTCTGCACTTTTCAATTTAATCTGAAGTTAACGATGGTTCTTGTTGCATTTTCTTGCAGGGTACAGAAATCAAGTTTGTCCTCTTTATCATATTTTTGATAAAATTTATGGTTCAGAATCGGAGGAGAAGGTCATCAACGTAGTGAAATTTCGCAATCGATCAACCACAAGCAACAACTCGAGCGAAGACGAACTTAGAAGGGCTGAATATTCGAGCAATGAGGAATTCAATGAAAGTCCATTAAGTCCGGACGACTCAGACACAGCAACATGTAGAGTTTTTTCAATGCCAAATATGCATATCCTAAGAAAGGGGAGCGGAGAACAAACTCAGATTCATTCGGAATCATCATTTGGTCTCACTGATAATTCACTATCACATCGCGAGTCAGAAGTGAGTTCCACTGCTACCTCACCAAAACCCCATTCATCACTAGCACAAGTGATTGATAAAAACATTTACATCCGTTCATTGGCATATGAAACGAAGAAGTTAGAAGTTGAACATGAGAAATTGCGTTTGGAACAAAAAAAATTCGAATGGCAACAAGAAAGGGAAGGAACTGAACTGAAAATAAAACAAAAAGAGATCGACCATGACTTTGAATTGAAAAAATTTGAATTGAATAAATTGGAGCGAATGGAGAAAGCGAAAATGAAACTGCAATTGGACCATGAAGAAAGAATAAAGAAATATGAAATAAAAATGAAGCTTCAAAATTTTGGTGGACTTTAACAAGCATTCTTTCAATTTCTTAATTTGTCCTTTTCCCTGAAACAGAAAATAAATATTGAGCTGCGTTTTCTTTTTTTTCTTTGCTCTTAATCTGAGGAGAACAACGCAAGAGTTTTTTTGTGTGTATATATTCTAATAAGTGAGTTCCAGCAAAAACGTTTCACGAACAAGAACAAGTCGCTTTTTGAAAGCTTTCCTCTTTCAGATCTAAAGGAGTATTTTTATATATACCATCGAGGGATGAGAGTATCGTCATCACTTTTGCATTGTCACATTTCTTGCAACAGTCAAAAGGAAACTTCCGAGATCCTATAAAGTATATATACTCTTGATCAGCATGAAATTTAGAATTGACTAAACCATGTCTGTCCATCTGTGTGGTGCGTTTTGTCGACACTATTTTGGTTGCAAACATAAGTATATCAACTTCAAATTTAGTATATATGTTAGAAGTTTTTGCACTTGGCTTGGTATCGAAAACTGGCCAAATTGGTCAGAGCACAATCCCGCAGTCCAGAGTAAACTGAACACAAATTCGTTTTGCTTAACAAAAATTTGTCACTTTTTGCTCGTTACTCAGAAATTGTCAAGGAGAGAAGACTGAAAATTTCCACATTTACTTCATGAAAATCTTTTTTGTGCAAAAATGGAATAAATCGGCCATACTCACACAAAGTTAAAAGTAATAAAATTTTCTTTTTTTTCACTTTTTATTAGTCGTAAGGTAAACAAGACGGAATGTTCAAAATTACCCTCAAATGAAGATATATTGTCTGCATAAATATGGTGGACCCCACAAGCTGCTGGATTGATTTTTTTTTTATAATACCATCAAAGTCGGTATGAAATAAAAGGAGTCGGACAGTAGAAGACGAGTGGCTTAACTCAAAATTAATTATGGTGGGCGGCAAGACGTAGTAGATTAATTTTAACACATAAAAGGCCTTGGAGAGTATACTGCGAAAAGATAAGTATGTTAATTTCAAATTAAATATCGCGATGCCTTTTTGTGACGTAAGAGGTAAAAGATATGTTTTATCCCTATTTACTTTTTTATGATAATAATGGGTCGCCAAAGATTTTAATGGTTCGGCCCAGCCGTGTAAAACATTCTTACTTGTTATATACATGGCAGTTAGATTTGGAACAGCTTTTATATCTCTAGGCATGCCCACCTAGACCTACATACGTACAAAATGGAGCATTTCCGTTCATTATTCGGCCATTGTAAAAAATTAATACAAAACATTAAAAAGCATGGTTTAGCAGCAGAATTTTCGTCGCAAAATTTCGGTCTTAAAATCAGAACAATAGCAAAGAGAAGATTATATTTTATTTGTTTATGCTTGTATCGAATTTGCAATTTCCTCGTCTTTTCTTCGGTGCTATGAAATAGGAAATATTTACTCTTGCAACAAATAATTTAAGAATAATCTTTTTATTATCGTAAACTTTCTATTAAATTTCCGTCCTTCTTTTTGGTAATATGTCGATCTTGTGCTATTAAAGAAAGAATTGGCAAAACTCGTAAGCGCCTGGAAATATTTCCAGCAAAGAAGAAAAGGAATTATTTCATCCGATTTATATGGAAATGTATGTGTAAACAAGACGAGATATGTAAGCATGTTTTCAAATCTTGTAAACTGACGAGTTCTCCCTTTCACAATACGCATAAATATAAATACCTATATATAAATACATTACAAGAAGTAAAGGAATTCCGGCTAATATATATATAGACATAAAGACGTGTTTATATATATATATATATATATATATATTAAAAGATGGAGTAAAGGAATTCCAACCAATAATATGCTTATCTACATCGATAAATATATGCGTATCCTTGGATATAGCTTGCTTTCCATATAAAATTTACAGATTCAAATATCATACCTTGATATCGGCTTAAATCGAAAAGCTAGCATAGGGCTTTAGTCGTCTGCATACAGCCAATAGTTCTCCTTGCCTACAGCAAAAGGAAAAGGTGTTAAACGGTTTTTTACTTCTCCTCGTTTATATTTTCATTCACTTCATTTTTATATATGTTTGAATTAGGTTATATTAGGTCTCTATATTTTCTAAATCCTCGCAGGCTAAAAATGAAAATTAAAATATACCTTCTAAGCCCATGACTGAACATCTCAGTAATTTTTGTTAATTAAAGAAAAAATGTTTTTTGTTATGAATATTTGTTCACTAAAAGCCTTTTAAGAGGAAACTCTTGGTTACTTTATTCAATTGGAAGCGCATAGAAATATGCATCGAAGCGTAGTCCCGCTTTATCCGTTTTTTATTGTTTTCATGTTTTAGAATAAAAAAATTAATAGGGTACCCAACATTTCATAAAAGCGTTATAATGTTGACGAGTTTTTGAAAAACACAAGTTTTTAAATAAAAGATTAATAGCGGAAAACGCCTGCACGCAATTGCCGCAGTGCATTGGAATATAAACTTTAAGGCAAATATATCGAGCAAGAAAAAAACAAAATTATAAACTTATTAGCCAGTGTTGTATTTACGCTATATAAAAAAGAGGCATTAATCAAAGCAATTATTTTCGCTAGATAAGTGGGCGACTACTATTATTACTACTACTTACTGCCAGCTGCTACGATTATTTACTAAATACTACTAAGCATTTAAAGCATTCCTGTCTTCTTGATCATTACGCCACATTTCAAAGCATAAAATTAGGTAGAATTTCTTAACAAAGGCAAATTTATGTTTATCATCTCATTTAAGTTAAATTCATACAAGCGAAAAGGCAAATCAGAGAGCACGGCAATGAATTTATAAAATAAAAGTTACGAGGCTTTTTCTAAGTGTACCTGCGCGATTAAATTCATTTATTGAAAAATTTCGGTATACGTGCGTAAATGTGTGCCTACTGAAAGGCAAGAATATTTCAAACAAAGTCAAGTACGCATAGCAAAGAAAACGCAGTTATTTCTTCGCATTCGAGATTATGAAGTAAGTAAAGAAAAAAAAAGTGCGTAAAATATACTTAAATTTTTGCACATGTTCTGGAAAATATATTTCTGCTATGTGCGAGAAGAAATACAGAAAAAAATATGGAAAAAATTCCATCAGGTAACTGAATGAATAAAATGTAAAAAACTTGTTGCATGGTTTTGTCGTTTATTTTCTAATATCGGTTCCTCTCTTTAACTTTATGAGTGCACGAAAGAGAGAGAGAGAAGCTAACGTAGCTATTTTTAATAAAAAGCCGCCATTTTTCCCAAAGAAATGAAATCTCTTACTTTTATGATTTTAGGCGTAGTTCGTCCAATAATGATTTACAGTTAAATATTCTACAAGTGAAGGAATTTTTTTAAAATTTCTTTTTCAGTTTGCCTAAAAGTTTGCTTTGTGTTACAGAAATCTTATCCCTTAAATTCAATTCGCATTTCCCGATGAGTATTAAAGAAGAGAAGAAAGCTTCGCCTTCTTCCAATATGGCAGTAGGTGTTAAAATTCTCAATGATAAGAAGAAGAAAGTACCGTCACTTCAGTTGCCCTTTATGACATCCGTTCCGTCAGTACCGTTATCGCCGCCTAAGCAGATCACTTTGTCAATTGCGAAGCCGAAGAAACCTGTGAGCAAGGAAAAGAAAATGGATCATTATTTAATGCAAACGATAAAAGGTGAAAAAAATGCCGAAGGTGTTGAAGGTCCGGAAACTATCGATTTTATTTTAACTGATAACAATGAAGATGACGACGGCAGCGGAGGGATTACTAAACCAAGTGGTGAGATTACTGAAGAATTACGCTTAACTGATGAGGAAGAACACGATGGAGTGCAAGGAGGAAATGAAAAAACTGAAGAAATTGTGGAACATGTGTGTGGCAAATGTTTCAAGACATTCAGACGTTTAAGGGTAAGATTTTTTCGATCCAAATTACTATGATTTCTTCGTAACTTCTTCTTTTGATCATTTCGTACTCTTAACAGGGTTTAAAAAAGCATTTGGATTATTGTCGCTTTGATAGCGGTTATCATTTGCGCAAAGCCGAAATGCTTAAGAATCTGGAGAAAATAGAAAAAGATGCCGTTATTATGGAGAATAAAGACGTTTGCTTTTGCTGCGGCGAAAGCTATGATACTTATCATGTAAATCAATTTTGAAATTATTTTTCAAATTAATTGAAATTGATAGGTTTTCATCATTGGTATCATTTGTATGTGTATAATTCTACAGTTGGGTCATATAAACTGTCCAGACTGCCCCAAATCCTTTAAAACGCAAATGAGCTACGAACGCCACATCTTCATTACTCATTCCGAATTGAATGATCACCCCTGTTCGATTTGCAACGCGAAATTGCGCAGTGGGAACTTGTTGATATTGCATGAGGAACAGCATAAAAATCGTGGCAAACCGTATGCTTGTAAAATTTGTGGTAAAGATTTTACACGTTCCTATCATTTGCATCGTCACCAGAAGTATTCATCTTGCTCGGCTAATGAGAACGACTCGATGAAGTGTAAAGTGTGCGATAAAGCCTTTTATCGTTTAGATAATTTACGAGCTCATCTCAAACAACATTTAGGTACGCATGTCACAAAAAAGCCCGAATACATGTGTCCCATTTGCAAGAATTGTTTCTATAGTTTATCTACACTAAAGTAAGCTATTTTTTTTTTTTTTTTAAGTGTTTCAGTAACATTTAATCGTCTCTTGTGTATATAGCATTCATACTCGCACTCATACGGGAGAGCGTCCGTTCGATTGTGATTTGTGTGAGAAAAAGTTCCCATCTTTAGTGGCCCTTAAAAAGCATCGTCGTTATCATACCGGCGAAAAACCTTATACATGCTCTGTGGTAAGTTGATTTTAACTTAAATGTTGTCCTACTGAGCCCAAACGGAAAATTTTTCATACGCTTTAGTGCAAGCAATCGTTTGCCGTTAAGGAAGTGCTAAACCGTCATATGAAACGTCATACCGGTGAAAGGCCATATGTATGCAATGAATGTGGAAAAAGTTTCATACAAGGAGTGCAACTACGCAATCACAGTAAAACTCATTTACGTCCTTACGAATGCAACAAATGCCCCGAGAAGTTTAAAACCGAAAAACAGTGAGTACCATTCGTATGACAGGGATTCGTATAGCATTCATTTACTGCAATCACCAAGGAGTAGAAGGGAAATAGGACATTTATTAAATCATTTTTAATATTGTAGAATAGACACAAGAGATTCTATAATCCGTATATAATTCTGGGGGAATGCTTATGTCCATTGAGATTAGAATTATGGCTACGAGTCAGTCAAATGTTAACCAGGGATTTAGTGAAGAGAGGTAAGAGCCGGCGAAGACGAAGCTTCCGTTAGCTACCTTAGATTAGGTAGAGAAATGCAGCGTTAAGCGTGAGACCTGCTCGTAAATTTGGCCCAATCCAGTACATTTCCAATAGACATCTTCCCTGAGGTAAAACAAGTCAATATATCAAATTTCATCAAAATATCTGAAAAGTTCGACTTGTAAACCGCACGCAGTCGGACATATAGGAAGATTTAAATCATCTTCTTTATCGATTGGTATAACAAATTATGGGATCTTCTGCAGTCGCGCTACGGATATTATACATATCGATACTTTAATAGATCTTTATAAGGCAAAAATGTTGAAAGAAACTATAAAAAAGGATTGAAAAATACTTTAAAAGTTGCTGTCAAGTCATATATAAAATGTAGGATTTCAAACATCACATAAATCTTGTGTCGTACTAAGCATTACCAAATGTTCTTCCTACATTCTGCATTCTTCTTCTATGTTGTTCTTATGTGTTCCTATTGCCGCAAAGGGTGAAATATATTTCCAGACATTTTTCGCTTCAATACTCTCTCTTTCTCTCTCTAGCTTTTTGTTTTCTCTGGCTGCCTTCTATTCTATTAAGAAAGAAACTAATATTATTTTGAATTTCAGATTACAACGTCATTTTAGGGATCATCAAGTTTTAAGTAAGCGCCGTGGGCGATCAAAATACCCTCATAGATGTGAGACTTGCAAAGTATCGTTTAAAACTGAAAGTGAATATACTCAGCATATGAAAAAAGGCTCGCACTTAAGTAAGTTTATTGCAAGATTATTGACTCTTTGTTCCCTAAGATAAAAAGATCATTTCGTATGCTTAGCTCCTGCTCAGAAACGAAAAATTAAAAATCGTACGGATTGCGCGGTTTGTAAAAAAAATTTTGACTCTGTACAGAGTTTACAATTTCATATACTCAAAGTGCATCAGGAAGATCCGGAAAATTTTGTTAATGAAGATCCTTTTCAACGGCCAACCGTTAGTAATGAATCAAAGCAATGGGAGAGAGAAAATGATGAAGTTCCGCCACCAGCACCGAAAATTATAAAAATCGAAAGTAATGATGATATACCACATACTGAGATTATTCGAATCGTGGATACTAGTATACCAAATCTTGTAAGCAGCAATCTTAAGACATTTAATGATAAACAACCCATAATAAAAGCGGATGAAGGAACAATTGCTTCGTCCGATAAAGTCCAAATTTTGCAAGAATTTGTAATTCATGACCAGCCAACCACATCGTCGGTTGTCTCCGCCAATACTGGACAAACCATTATACTATCGAACGAAGCATTTACGGTTATACCTTTGGAATCAGATGGTGGTATTATTGAGCCTATAACCACTCACACTTTGCCAAATAGTGTAATTGTACCGGCATCCATTAAAAAATCTCAGAAAAAATCGTTGGCAGAAAGTTTAGCTGCTGCCATTGCTGATAATGATGAATTAACAACGTTTGCTGAAGAGGATGAAGAGCTAAGCGAAGATGACTATAAACTCAAAGATAATGTTTATAAACTACTCGATATGTTAGTGGATAATGTTACATTGAAAAAATTCGGTTGGCCTGAAACTACAGAGGAGAAAGTAAGCTTTAGAGAAGAGAAAGGAAGCCCTAAACTATCGTAAATTTAAATATTCATTTTCAGGTCCTATGCAAGGTCATTGAAAATTGTGGTCACGATTTATCAAAAGATCCTTACAATTATCAGGAGTGGGATTACGGTAACTTTAACATTTAATTAAAATTTAACCTTTAATACTCGAATCTAAATTTATAAAAAGAAAAAATTTTTAATTCGTGAAATTGAAAATAATAATCAAGTTATTTTCTGTATTTGACACATTAGGTACCCGGATGCGCGAATATGTCAAGTTATTGTTTACCGTGGTTATACATAACGACTCAATCAAACAACTTTTAAATAACTATCCCATTGATGAGGTAATTGAATACGTTTTAGGCAACGATGACGATGACGAGGACGACGACGATGATGATGATGAGAACGATGATAATACCAATGAGAACAAAGAGGAGAAAAAAACAGACAAATCTGCTAATAGTTCGAAACAAATTAACAAAACGGATAATAATAAAACCGTAAAAAGCGAAAAAGAAAAATTGAAAAACTAAAGTTAACTAAAAAAAATTTCGAAAACTGACAATAATTTTTACCTTCAAAGTAATCTGAACAATTGATGCTTGATTTATTATACGTAAGACGTACTTTTGTAAATTGAGTGTATGATAAGTATTTTTATATATCCTTTTTCTAAAAATAATGAGCAATAATTTCTATTGCAGCGTTTGGAAAGACTTATAACAGTTTAGAGAATAAGCGGACAACACTATCGTTAACATGAAATTTATTTAACATGATGTACACAATAAAGTACATTTAAAAAATTTAGAAGAACAGTTAAATCAAAGTAACTTTTATGGCTTTTTATTAAAACAATAGGAAATGTTGTTGACAGTAAAGAATTCGTGATTAAAATAATTAATTAACCTTTCAATGAGAGAAAGTTAAAGATTATATCGTTTTGTTACGCCGAAAACATTCGCCTAACAAGAATTTGTCTTGAGGAAAGGAACGTGTACGCCAACAAGGCTCAAGATGCTGAATGATCCAAAACTGACCATAAGATATTTGTTCGCTAGAATTTAAGCAAAATACTACACCCATTGAAATTATGTACCATAAATTTCCTGTTGCTCGAGTTAGGTTGAATTTTTTTGCATATTAAAATTAGCTTCGAATCTCTCGAAAAATAATTTTAAAAAGCATTTGGATTGAGAAACTGAGAAGACGCAGGTTCTCTTCTAGACACGCAATTAAGAAATTAATGTTAAGGTTTAATCATGTATGTATTTAATGTATTCAAGGAACTCTTTCGACTGCTAGACCTGGGCTTATGATTGAGCCTTATTTGAGCCTTTCGATAGTATTTAAAACCGAGGTATAAGTATGCCAAAAATTGACACTTTTGAAATAGATCAAATACATCCATAAGTAATAAAAATAAAAAGCACAATTAAAATTCATTGTGTCTTTGAGAAACAAGTAAGTACATTATAGTTAAGCAAGGCTGACTTTAGATATCCTAGATGACTTCGTCTAGTGCACTTATTCGCCAACAATTACACATTATTTTCATGCGTAGGCATGCTTGTCATGCAAGCCCAAGAAAGCATAGTGGAGAATGACCAAAACATCACATTGGCGTCTGATTCAAGTCAGGCAAAAATTTTTTTATTTTTCCATCTCCGTCACAAAAAACTAAAAATTATACCTTCTTGAGAGTTTGTTTTTCGTAATAAACCCTCTATATGTTAGCGTCGAAAAAATAAACCTACCTGATCCAAATTCCATGCCTTTAATTTTTTGGCTTAATTGCCACCATAAACTAATTTTCGTCACAATTATGTCAAACTACTGGCATGAACGAATTTTCATTATAAAATATTGACTCTGAAGCCTTTCTAGCATATAAGACCCTTTTGGCATATCCTGAGAGTTCTTCTAAGCGATGGTATCCAAAAACTAGACCTACGTGGCTCAAATTCGGTCAATTCAAATTCGTTGTCAATTTACTATTGCGAACCAATTTTCACCAAGAAATATTGAAAATTGTATAGGAGGTTATTGAGAGGAGGTTCAAAAAGTTAGCACAACTGAACCAAATGTTCCATACTAATAGCTTTGTCGAAATACATTTAACTAATTTTCAAGATAAGTCGTTATAAGGGAAGTGAACGAAAATGCGGATTGATCCGAACCACTTTTAACGGCACTCGCCTTTAGATCAAAGGACATCAATGCACCAAATTTAATGAAAATGTCTAAAAAATTGCGACCTGTACGTTGAACACAAGAAAATATACACATTACAAATGTGCGTACGCTTAATTTACCCTGTACCACAAACGGTGTAGGGTATAACAAAGTCGAATAGAACATGTCGGGGGAATGGGTACGATTGGTAGCGAGGAAAACGCGCCAACTTAAACTTATTCGAGAGCAGACGCTGCCTGTCACTTTGGTTAGAAATAATCAAGAAGTCCTTAAAAATCGTCACACGCTTCTTTCGATTTCGATGAAATTGCGAGAAGCCCAATGCCCAAAAATGAAAATCTCTTCTTTAATAGATCATCGTGAACACACGAACTTGGATCAATTCAGAACGCGTTTCTAAATCGATCGGTGTAATGAAAGATGGCGGTTTCACATGTCTTTTTGGGTGTTGTATTTATCCGGACGTATCCTTGATATATCCTCGTATCACAAGCGGTTTAAAAAGGTATTGTGACACCTTTCCTTTTTTTCAATTTCTTAAAATTCCTTGAAATTATTCCTACTGCATATAAATCCCTTCTTATCAACGTCCTTCATGCTTGACTAAATTTGCTTTTCAACCATGATTGGGTGAAAGGGAAAAAAGTTGTGTGGCATCGTTGTCTTCAAGTTACCAAGGATACGAAAATCCCTTGCCACGACTAACAACTAAACATTCCTTTAAACATGTTCTACTTTTAGTGTAACATTTTTAATAGAAGGCATTTTTTTAAAAAAAAACTATGGCTGATAACGTCTTAGATCCTTCAGTTATAAAACTCACTCAAACAACTTTGGGTAAATATGTTAAAAAACCGGCATTAAGTGAAAAGCTGCTGAAGAAGCCACCGTTTCGTTTTCTGCATGACGTCTTTAATGCGGTAAAAATCTATGAAACGTTGATCCGATATTAAAGAAAATGAGATTTTTACAATTATTTCTAGGTTATACGTGAGACAGGCTCTTTTACGGGCTTGTACACGCCGGAAGAATTAAATTTCGAAAATATCGTAGATCGTGAGGGAAAAATGCGATTTTTACAAAAAATGATTGATGTTGTTAGTAAGTTACCTGTGCGGATCGTAATAATTGGTAACGTTTTTATACCCATCACCGAGGGATGAGGAGGTATATTCATTTTGTCAAAACGTTTTCAACGCCAAGAAGGAAGCATCACGCCTACCCAATATTATAGTGTATCAAGCTTTAATTGTTTCTTCAATACCTTTATGACGCGCAGAAATAAGCTTCAAAAACCCCATAAAGTATGCAAATTTTCAAATTTCGAATGCATTTAAATATGTCCGCTTTTTCGTCTGTCCATCTGTCCGTTTGCGCAACTTTGTAGTATTTGCGGTAAACATTCTCCCGTTAGCGAAAATGAAGATATCGCCTACAAATTTGCATAAGACTTTGGAATTGATTTAAACTTTTTCAAGGACATGCCTACAGCATCAACACCCCTATGCCACAAAAACTTTTATTTTGAAAATTGAAGAGATCAGGTGCGCGCACACCATATTATATAGCGGAATAATTTTGTTCTTTTACTTCTTTTGTCTTTTTTTGGGGTAAACGGCGATGGGTATAAAAGATTCAGTCCTGGCCGATTTTAACTTTCTTACTTGTTTTTGTTTTTTTACTATAGAATTAACTACAAAAGTTGATTTAACGGTACGTGCTTCGAAAATTGTGGCCGGTCTTGAATCAGAAAAAACGAACGAACTTTTACAATTGATGGGTGAGATCATTGAAAAGCAATTGGATTGGAAGTCAGCGGTGGAGCAAAGGTCCGGCGATGGTGAGGTTGCAAAAATAGTCGAAACGAAGAAAAGTAAAGATGCAGATAAATCTAAAGGTAACAGAAAGTTAAAACCAAAGTCCCAAGAAAAGGATATTAAAATCAAAGATGAAAAATCGAATAAAATCAAAACCAGCATCAAAGGACTAAGTAAGCCATCCTCTAAAGAGGAAAAGAAGAAGTCGACAGAGGAAGCTAAAGTTAAAACAAAATTAGTGACGAAGCAGTCATCAAAAGAGAAAATTAAATCGAAAGAAACACTAAAAGCTAGAGAAAAAGTTTTAAAACCGAAAACAGATAGTGAAGGAGCGAGTGGTTCTAAAGACACGGAAAGCGAGCACTTGGTAGAAAAAGCTAAACTTTTTGAAAAAGTTGCTTCTCAAGAAGAAGTTGAGAAACCGTCAGCCAAAGCGATTGAAACAGAAGAAAGCCAAGCTAAGATAATTGAAGAGTCTACTGACCCTAAAATGATATCTAATGGAGAAATCTTGAAAACCAAAGACATAATAGAAACGCAAAAAGAAGAAGAGAAAGCTTTAGCCAAAAAAGTTGTGAAAGACCCATTAATCTCTGAAGATAAGCCGATTGAATTGAAGTCGTCGGAGAAATGGAAACGCTCGGCAAACAAAATTCAGCAAAGTATTGCAACATCTTTAAAAGAGACGGAGGAAGTGGCGATAGACCGGTCAGAGCCAATTACTAAGCGACAAGTAGAAGAAAAGTTAGAAAAAATTGACCCATCTCCTCCAAGACCGGTGGTTAACGCTGAAGTAAAACGTGAGATTACTTTCACCCGCGAAAATTCCAAAGATGGCAGTAGACCAAGAACATCTTTAAGACCTCCTAGTGCACGGCCACCCTCAGCTCGGCCAGGCGCCCCCCGTCGACGAGATAAAAATATTGAAATCGTTCTGCAACCGAATGATCAAATAAAATTAGCCGGTGTTAATATTAAATTAGAGACATTTGGAGATTTGGATGACGATGGTGAAAATTTGGTAATAATTGAAAATCCAGACACTCAGACAATTGCCCAAAGCCTAACTGACAGCTATGTCGAAAAAGGCAATGAAAACGCCGAGCAAGTTGATGAAGCCGCACAACAAGGGCATTTAGTGCAACAGATATTGGAAACGCAAAAGGAATTAATACAAGAAACGAGTGCCAAGGGAATGGAAAAGAATGAAAAGGTATCAAATGAAAGACAAATAATAATCAGTCCGCCCGACTTATTATTACTAAACTCCAACTCTTTTTTTTTACATTTTAGATTTTAGTTTTAGATTTTTCAGTTAATTGTAGTGTTTATCCCCTACACCACTTGTGTCACAAGGATACTTTAACATTGCGCGGACGTGTTCACCTGCCAGAACGATTCGAGATAGACTCACCTTTTATTATACCGATCGATTCAGAAACTGAATTAGTGGAAGTAAGCTTGTCTGTCCGTCTTGTTTTCTTGTGTTCAACCTACAGGTCGCAAATTTTTGAAATATTTTGATGAAATTTTGTGCAATTCCGAAGTGTTTTGGGCCAAGGGCAAGCGCTATTGGGAATGGACCACACTTTCAACTGGTCCGCATTAAACGCTTTCCTTGGAAAAGTCATTACATCAATAACTACAGGAAGGTATAGGGTATTTGAAAACGGGCCGTGGCTTACTACATTGTTTTCACTTGACTACTTTTATACAAGTCCGCGTTGTTTACATGTTTTCTAGGATAATGCAAATAACTTGATGTCGAAACAAACGACATCTCGTAATATGAATAACTTGCGTGATGTGATACAGAATCTTACGAAATCAATTAATCCTTTGGGTAAATTAATGGATTTTATTCCCGAAGACATCGATGCCATGCAATTAGAATATACCATGTGGCGGGATTCGTACACGCAGGCAGCCAATGAATTAAAAAAAGAGAAAAGGTACGAAAAAAGGAAATGCAGGATTAAATGATGAAAGAAATTGTCTGTATGTATGTATGTTTTTTAATTCTAGTCTCACCGAATCATCAACTGAGCCGATGAAAAATCAATTAATACAAATTGAAGCTAATATTACCGAATATCAGGAAAGCATCGATGTCAGTCGTGTCAAGATTTTGCAAAATTCTGAAAAAATATTAAAACTATTGATGACTCGACAGTGAATTTGAAGGAAAGAAAAACGCAATTGCTTTTAAAAATACCCTGTGTAAATAATCGTTGTTTTGTTAAATATTCCCTCGAATAATATAAAAAGGAGAGAAAGCATCTTTTAAATAATAAAAAAATCAAAGTATCGTTAAAATAAAATGCATTCTAAAGTCCTTCTATTATATTTTTGAAAGCAAGTTTTGCCTAGAGAAAGAGTTTTGAAACCGGAGCATTTGCCCGATTTTCCCAGAAAATAAATTTCCGAGAGAGGGAGAGCCCAAGTGCAAATTCGTGGCGCGTCATGCAGCTGTAGATTAGGGGAAAAGCGAATTGACGGATTAGAAATGAAGCCATGAACTTAGTTAATAGCAATATGCTTGTAAAAATGTTTACGGAAGGCACAGTCAGTCGGGAACGAACATTTGAATCGAAAAAAAAGTTAAGAATGCTGTCAAACTAAGTAAACTGTAAATAATCCTACCTTAAAAGAAATTGATTGTAAGTAAAACCACGAACCTGTGATACGAACCGTATTAAGAAGACCAAACTTCGTGACATAATTATTATTATAAGTTGTCACGATTCGGTTGTATATCTTCTTTATTTGCTTCTGATATTATCACTTCAAGAATTCCATCCGATCTCGTTAACCAATTAATTAATGCGCACAAGAGGACTACTACGTGTAAAAATGTTAAATGTCAAATTAATTCACAAAGCAGAACAAGTTTATAACAAAAGTTCATGAAAGCTATGGGATTACAACTGTTTGCAAGAAAACGTACAAAAAATTAAGTCTAGAATTTATTGAAGTATAAGAGCATTCCATATGTCATTATAGTTCGTTCGTATTATAGTATATAGAGAGTACGATAAGCTATTGTTAACAAAAAGGAAACACAAACAAAGCAAAATATGTCTTTTTAAGGAGTTGGAGCATATTGGCTGCATTAAAAATCGTGTCATTTTTCTAAACTTACTTTAAAACAAATAACAACGTTGTGGACGAACGAGCGATCCAAAATTAGTCTCCTATTTGCTCCAAGTCCAAGGCCAGTATTATAAATTGTTATGTCAAACTACCGTGGACGATGAGTTTTCATTAATTAAAAATTAGACTCTACGTCTACGTCAGCATATATAGCTTGTGTATTTGTAAGAGAATTTCGTATGAGAAAGGGTTTTAAAATATGATCCTATCCCATCCGTATTTTTCAAACACACTTAGTATGGAAAATTGCAACTTCTAAGTAGAACGAACGCATGGACATACATGCTTAAATCGATTCAGAAAATAATTTGGGATAACAACAACACGTTTATCTATTCCACGATCTACTACGTGTTGCATATTTATGCAGAATTATAACAAGTGGTATTGAGAGTAAGTTCATATTACCACTTAATTGGGACGAGAGCAAAGGCATTTGTAAACGCGTTCCCATAAAATCGCTTTTCTAGATATGCCACTCGTACCTTCATGATTATATTACATGCACGATGCATGGAGCAGAATGTTAAATGGCTCGGGTGACCTTGTAGGTTTTACTTTTTGCTGAACAACTTTTATTAAGCAGAAGAATATATATAAAAGGGATTATGAATTTGTACACACACTCAGACCTAAAATTGATACATCGTTAGTCGCAAAGTTATTAAAATTTACCAATAATTTAATAAATAATTTTATTTGTAACTCTTAAGATCTTAAATCCTATTCTTTACTATAATCAACAGTAGCCGAGAAACAAGACAAATAATAAAACGAAATTCGATCCGGAAAAGAAGTAAAAGAACATATGGAGTAAGTGCAGCTGATTTCTTCCATTTTCCAAATTGTGGGGAATTGTGGGCGTGTCATTTGAAAAGTTTAGATCAACACCAAGTTCTTTTGCAAATTTGTAGGAGATATCTTCATTTTCGTTAAAGGGAGAATGTTTATCACAGATACTACAAAGTTGCGAAAGCAGACAGATGGACAGATGGAAAAGCAGAAATGTTCAGTTGCATTCCAAATTTGAAACTGGTCAAAAATTTGTGTACTTTACGGGGTTTTTGAAGCTTATTTCCGCGCTATTATTAAGTTATGGAAAAAACATTTAAGCTTGATATTGGGTAGGCATGGTCAATTTTTTCCATATCTGTGAACAAATGCTAAAGCATCGTCCATTGAATATGCGCTCAAATTTTCGTACATTTATTTGCTGTAGTTTATGAGTAATGAGCAAAACACCTACTGCTTGTGGGGGTTACGAATGGGGACCTTGAAGGCGTTTTACTTACAACATTTTCAATTTTTCTGAGAACGTGCGGGGCGTTAAAAACATTACTTCTTAGTAAGGGAATTCATTTCATCAAATTAAATTTATTTTAATCGCTATAGTAATGGAAGAGATGTAAGAAAATTTCACTCGCATGATGAGGAATTGTTTTTACTTACCAATCGCAATGTTCTATCATTTTCCACATTGTTCCAACTTTCTGATAGGTAACCGACTTTGTTTTTTTTTAACACTCTTTTAGACGGAAGCTGATAATTAACTAAGCATATTATAAGAAAGTGTCAATCAAGACCAGACCCCAGTCCAAAATCCTTTGGTAGTAGATCCCCACAACAATTCGCTATGGGTATAAAAAAAGCTACAAATTTCACCAGCACTAGCGAAGTAAAAAAGTTTTAACTGTTAAAAATTCTTTAATGCTTGACAGATCGTCGCCTTGATGGAATTTTCATTTTTTCGATCATCGTTTTATTCATAAAGACTTAATTTTTCTTTTCATAATTTTCGGTGCATTTTATTAGCAAAAATTTTCAAGTTGATCTCGACCGAATAGAACAGAACCATCTAGCGTTCTAAGACTCTTCATTTAAAGGTATTCAAATTTGATATGATTTAGTATATTCACTAGAGTTGTTTATGAAAAATGAATGAAAAAAAAAAAAAAATAAAAAACGAAATTATTTCTTCAAAAGAAAAGACAAAAAAAGTAATACTTTATTTAAATTAATGAAAAGAAAAAAATAAAAAAACAAATGCTTTCATGCATATGTTAAAAATTTAAAAGACTGAATAAAAGTATATCGCAAAAGGAATAAAGAATAATAGAAAAAATAATCATGGTTGAAAATGTAAAAATCAATCATGATCTTTGTTTTTAAAAGATTGAGTAGAATTTGCTAAAGTAAACTTATTTATATTTTAAACTTAAGAAATAAAATTTAAAAATAATACCCAAAGCTTTAGAAAATTTTTTTTTTTTACAAAATCGAATTATTTAAATTCTCGTAGATAGAATGATTAAATGTATGGAAAACATATTTTTCTCAATTTCAACTCCTAAGAAGAATGAATGTAGTATATACGGAAACGAAAGCTCAAAGAAGTTAATAAAATAAAATTTGTAAAGATTGTCTTTAGTGTAGAAACCACGCGGCCTGGTATGCTCAGCATAACCACATGCATACGTAGTAGAACAGGATTTTTTTTGTTTAAATTAATAAGTTTGCTCTAAGAATCATAATATCATAAATTAGTTTTACTATCATCTTATTTAGTGTATGCTACAACTCGAAAAATTCATCTTGTTGTTTTTCCAAACGTTTCAGAGAATTCTGTACGCGACGCATTTGCGTTGTATTTAAGAGCTGCATGGTATCCGAATTACTGCTGCCTGTCGAACTGTGCCGTATATGATGATGATGGCTTGTGGCATTTGCTGTTGCCCCTGTTGCTGATGATTGCTGAGAAGCTTGCTTTCGATACGAATTATTCAGATGATTAGGATGGCGTTGCACTGAAACGGCAGTAGCGGCAAAAAGGGCATCATCACTTTGGCTAACCGAAAGCATTCTAATTTTTTAAAGAAGTGGGAATATATATGTATGTATATATACATTTTTTTTTTTTTTTGAGGATATTTTCTACATAAGCTCATTTTAAAAACTTACTCTCTTGACTTTTCCACATATTTACGCGACTCGGAAATTGTATTATCGATTTTATTTAAAAATTCATTAATGCAACGACGATTTTCTTCCTCAGGTGTTACGGTAGCAACCGAATCCAATGATTTGCTTTGCTTACTGTTACCGTTTGTATTGTGTTGCTGCTCAGCAACGACCTGGGCAAGCGTTTCGCCAGCTATGGAATAAGGTCGTGCTGGCAAAGTGGTGGCAGGTTGCGAACAATTCTCTGTAGAGGTACTTGAAGATGAGGCGGATTCTGACGATAGTGATGAAGAGGTACAGTTGAGTGGATCACCGCCGCAACTATAGTCTGTGGCATTGTTTGAATCTAATGAATTGTTCTCATCACTGTTATTATTAGTAACACTCGGGAAGTATGATGATGTCTTGTCAACGGGTATCAGTAGAAATTGTCGCAAAAATAAACTGTCCGAAGCAAATAGACGATTGACGCGACGTATTTGCTCAGTCTGTAAAAAGTTTTTATTTATTTAAATATTTATTTCATTAATTATGTGTTAAGTAATGCAAAAGGAAACGAGGAATATTGCTTAAATTCCATCTAACCACTTACAAGCTAGTAAATGAACTTAGTAACTGAACTTTTATAAAAGACGAGCGATATCGCGTAAATGGAGAGACCGTATATGGAGAACCATAAGCCGATCTATGAATGTGAATAATAAATCAAAACACTGTCTGAATTGGTTTTTGTGTTACGCTAAAGAAATGGCTTCAAGCAGAACTCGTCTATTTGAAAGGTTTGGGTTATTTCTATAAGCAAAGCCTAAGTCGAAGTACCATCAAATTTCGAAAATATTCTTATTTAACGCGAATACAAGCGTCCCTTCGTATGACGAACTTGAGGAAATCTTTCAGTGGGCTCTACACAGAAGACAGATTTGCAAGTGTTGTACGCCCTTCTTACAAAAATCTTAAAACTAAAGGATTTTCTTTTCGAGTTTTCCGTGAGAAATTCAAAAGAAACCAATTCAATAATAAACGGAAATTAATACGTTTGCCATTGATTATTCTACAACTCGGAACATTTCTACCTTCTAAGCAGTAAGACTTCTTTATAAGGATTGCACATCTGTTCGTTGGTTATGAATAGGAAGAAAGAAATCATAAAAGCCGTTTCGATCAATCCATAAGGCGTGATCATGAGGAATAAGTAACGTCCGTCTGAAATCTTACGACAGAGCAGAGTAAAGAAGTACAAAACTTGTAGGCGATTCATTATCGAATGACCTCTTAAGGGCTCAAAGCCCTTTCCTTCGAAAATTACAGGTGGAGGTTCGAAGAAATAATCATGTGTCTAGACCAATTTGTTGGACAAAAATTAAGAATTCTATTTAACGGTACTATCTAGTTTATTCAATTTCCGAATGCTTTAAATCTGTTACGAATGAAATCATATGTAAAAATCAAGAATCCCCACAGCATAATTACATAAAGCATATGCCCTTTTTATTGCGAAGAAATGTTGAAGTAAACCAATTCATATGTTGGTCTTGTGTACATATAATATATGTACAGAGATTAATGGACCAATTTCTCCGTCCTGCTTTCATTTGAAAAAATAAAGAGTTAACATTAATGTGATCAGGTTTGAGTCAAAGATGAATACTAATACTTTAAGCGGTTCGATCTGCGATACCTGTCATTCGTTTTTACACGTGGAATGAGAATGTTGCGATAGCTCCACCCGATTAACATTTCTCTAAGAATTTCCAAAGATAAACGGATTTATGGTAAATAATTGTGTAAAATTTGTCGCATTATTGCGCCTGAGTTACTAAAAGAAATCTTGTGTGATAATCCCGTGGCACTACTGTCCTACTTTGACGTAATTTTATATAACAAGGTCTTATATAATATATCTACTTAACCATCTTAGAGCATACCCTTGGCCTGTTTTTGAGAAAAGTTGACAATCTATGAATTTCCGCATGGCCACAAAACTTACTATAGTCCTTATACTTTCATTACTTATTTGCAAGGAAACGTGCCGCCAAATGTTTAATTAGTCGTTCACAGCCACGACGACAACGACTATAAATCAACGATTACCCCTCGCAAAGTTTTCCTGGCCGAAAACGAATTTTGACTATAGAAAATTGGACGCTTGGACAATAAGGAAAGCTCGAGCGATGATCTCAAAGTAAGTAAAGAAGGCAGTGATGATGCCTTTGTTAAAGTGTTTCGTATTGTGCGTGTATGTATGTTGGAGACATATGCCTAATATATGATTTACAATGTGAAGGACTGATCGCCGCTAATTGGAATATTCCATTTACTTTCTTTGTTTTCTTATTCTCACAAAATTTGTGCGAGATGTTGTATTTACTTTTCTCACTTTAATTGAGGTGATAACAGTTCAAGTAATCAAGAAAATCCAGCATATTTGCAGCCATCAACGCTGTATTATAAGAGCATAAAAATGACAATTAAGAAGTCTTTTAGTCTATATGCGCCTTATGGCAAATCTTTCTCAATTAGAAACTCAAGCAACAAGTAATATTTAAAAAAAAAAAGTTCTTGATTTTGAAATCATTGAAGCTATGGAGGGCCACCTATCAGCCTGCAGTGATTTCTGTGACAAGTTTTCACAATAAGGCTTTCTACGGGTCGTGACCAAAAAGGTGATCCAATCCGAGCAATTTTCAGTGCATCAAAGAAAACTAGACGGACAGATGTTATCGATATAGTAAAAGTTCGGACTGCCTCAAGTTCTTCGACACAAACTTAATATAACCGTGTACTGCAAAAGGTGAAGCACTAGCATATTTCTTAAAGGGAGAATTGCTCATGGCTAAACCGTTATGGAATTTAGCGCTAGTTAAATTTCGAAATTTACATATCTACAAACGCAATGACATAGTTACTATCCCCCCATTCCTCATTGCTGCATATTAAAATATTTTAAATAACACTTAATCTAAGTAAAACTTTTTGGACATCTGAACATCTACCACATACATCACGGTTTATGTGATATTAAAGCATTCATGCAATCAAGGTTTCAAGTCAAGATTTTTGAGGTATTTTTTTTTCTTCGTCAAATAGTCAAGCGAAGTAAAAACAATTTTTTATAATATATAAATACTAGCACCTAGCAGCAGAGCAATATGAATTCATTCTAAAGACTGCTATTTGCATTAAATTACAATATGCCCTCATTTTGTTAAGATCAATAAAAAGCTTTGTAATATAAATACAACGACCGACTAACTTCACTTTGACAATCAACAAATGTTTTTGTAGTTATAAGCACGAGTTGAATGACTGACTTACAGTGCAACCGTATTTAAGAGCAATACCCTGCAATGTATCTGTCCTTTCAATGTCATGACGTATCAAGGCTTCATTGCTTCGCACATTATGATTACAACAAGTACTGCCATACTTCTTTAATGATCGAGCTGATTCTCGAATTGACTGCTTCTCACCGAACACGAATTCATCATCCATATCGGGTACAATTTCATGAAACTGCAAAACAAGATCCAAAAAACAAAAACAATTTTTTTAATAAGAATATAGTTTATATAGTTGCTTAGATGAACACTTATTAAATATTGTGTGTTGTGTACTCAGCAAGCAGTTCGTTACACACGCTAACAAAAATATTATTAACACCGCGAACATATGTAATATTAATAATTAAGCTCAACTGTGACGTCATTAGTTAGACAGGCTGCGCAGTTTTCATCACTTGTATTTTTTTTATTTAATATTCACAAGTTATTATTTGGTACAACATACCTAAATACTTTCACTGGTGTTTTTTTTTTTTGCTTTTTCAATGCCCACAGTTAAAATACTTGTTTGTTTTTTCACTTGTAAGTATTATGATAAAGCTTGAGCTTCTTTTTGTAACGCTATATAATATATTAATAGTTATTATTAAGATTTGGATGGAAAGAAAACCTATTTTTTCACAAATTTTCTTCTACCCGAAAATGAAAACAAAACCACTTTAATACGTATCACAACACAAAGATTTGTAATAGCGATGGAACTTAGCTCATGTTTAAACAGCTGATAGAGTTTTTAGGCTATCGAAAGTGTTGGCAACTTGCGAGTACAAATAAAACACGCGAAAATAAAGGTAGTACTCAATAATCCAATTTTTGAAACACTTATGCTTATAAGGTATAGCAATTAACAACAAAGTTTTTTTTCAAAAATTCATGCTTTCCATACCAGCTTACAATATAAAATTTTAAGATTTAAAGCTAAGTTTTTCTATTTAAAAAAAAATTTTTGGAAATGTTTCATTTCAATGTATTTACGCGTTTAGGTGGAAAAACAAAGTACAACATAGGGGAGCATACAAGAATATATCGAAGAATTAACAGGAAATGTTCAAAAATATGCGAAAATCGAACGGCAGGCCTCTAAAAATTTACTAAAACTAGTCAGAATGCGTTCAAGGGAAGATAAATGCTCTTTTTTTATACACTTATATATATAAGTTAGGTAAATGGCTGTAGATGTCATCATCTTCTTCCATAAATTCCTACCAGCAACAAAATATAGATTATGACTTTAGCAATTCATTCAAATTTCTTCTAAGAGGTTTCAAGGCTTACGTTGTAGGACACCTAAGCAGACAAGTCTTCCTATAACGCAATTAGTTCCTATCCTTCTGCGTGAACACTACGTTATATCAAACTCCAAATTAATTCAAAGAAAGAATAAATTATATAGAAAGTATTGCCGTGATTTGTGGAAATCTCTTTATAAGAAAATCACATTTAAATGAATTCGCACCACGTCATCCAGAATCTTCAGAAAAAAGTAATAAATTAAATGAAAGCGTTGCTTTATTTACTGGCTACTCACTTTTATGGAAATTCCCCGATAACTGAAATTGGAAATGATTCATACCTCAACCTCAATAACACATATTAAACGCATGAAAGAAGTGCAGCCATACTGAAATTTTTCAAGTCATTCGAGTTATTGGGAATGTTATGATATGAAAATATCAGGCGTTATAAGCAGTCTTGTTATAAAATATTTGTCCATATTTGTACTGGACATTGTAAGGAAACCACGCTGTGTAAAGACCGCATTATAGAGGTCTTGACCGTACAATTTGTATATAACTCTTCCGTTCTTTTTTATTAAAATAATTTTAATTGAACACAGTACAGAAATCACAACAACAAAGCAGAAATATTTAAATATTTAAAAAAATTATTTCAGCCGAGTAAAATGTATCTGAATTGTCGTAATAAAGATTACAGCACGAGGCATTCCTTCAACAAAGTATAAACAGACGTAATTATTTCTTTCCTTATATGTAATTTTCACAGACTGCAACAGTACAACAACAATTGCAATTAATTTTTTAATTTAAGTATTTTAATTTTGTTTACGGGTTAACTTGAATATCCCTTACATTAGACTTCTAGTTTCATTTCAATTACGGAATATGAAGAACAACTTATAAAAGCGAAGGAATCAGAAATTGATGGTTACACTTCACTTCACTGAGTCGTGGTTCACTTTTTTCGACTTTAATAAATCCTTTTGTTTGTAAGGCTTTTCAAAACGGCCTACGGACTTCTTAAATATGGTTCCAACGTTTTCATTCTTCTTGCATTTCTTTCATGTATTTCGATTTTCAATTGTTACGAGAGAATCAACTGACATTGGAGGGTAAAGAATATTAGAAATTTGTATTTTTGAAGCAGTCAGTTGTGATTTTCGAATCCACATGTTAATAAAACTTGTTATTATATAATGAATAAATTCTTATTATCGTTCTCTACTGTATTGAGAGTTTCTTGTTTCTTGTTTTCTAAACATCCTATGTACTGTTACTGTATTTATATTCGTTTGCTTTCGTTGAATGTAAATAAATTTTAATATTGATTCAAAATTGACTTGCAATAGCTTCCAAGTAGCTAGCTCACGTTGTTTCGGTACCTCAAATTTTAGTGTCTATGCTTTTTCTTCTTAATAACTCGTTTTCAAACTGATTGTTTTGCTAATTTAATTACTCGCACAGCAAGCAATATATATGTTTTGTTATGTATTATAAAATATATGTGTATTTGCAAATGTCGGTTGCTGGCTGATTTAGATAATTAACTGAATACAATTAACTAAGACTGGATATGATTTATTGTAAGTCAATTTTTTGCCTTAAGTACAAGTTTCTTTCTATATACATTCCTTCTATATTTATATATTTGAAAATGATGATATTCTTAATACATATATAAGTATGTAGATTTCTTAAATGTGTATATAATACACGAGATGTAAGTAAAAAGCTCTCGAACTGACAATGAGTTAAAAAGTAAAATATAACTTGGCAGAAAATGCATCTAAAGTCACGAAAATAAATGCTGAAGTTGGCTTGGAAAGGAAATGCGGTACGAGATGTTACGAAATAGTTGGAATTTTACGGCTCACGAGAATTTAAGCAAGTAGTTGTAATCGTAAAAACGATCTAGATCTGCATTCGTCCGTCCGCGTTCCAGATAAACAGACCAGGAAATAATCTTTACCCTAGGCTGGGAAGTTTTACCGCATCCGTTACATTCTCCGGATCTGCTTCGCCTTCTGATCAGCACTGGCCCAGAGTCATGCGATCTAGCAGATTAGCTGATCTGCGATTAGATCAGCAGATGTGCAAAGTTAAAGAGGGACCGACAATGGCCCGACGGATATTTCGTTTCCAAGCCGAAAAATTTCCATAGGCTACCCGACGAACGGCAAAAGATTATATATATTGATGATGCATATTTTGCTTATTAAGCTTTATAGCAATTATATTTTAAATAAGACAAACTGTGTGCATTATCGAAGTCCATTATTATTCCGGCCGTCTTTACTCTTCGGACTTTTATTATTGTTAGATATCGTTTTAACTTGGACTTTCCATTTTAACCTCGTATACGAAAGTATGTTTATTGTATTATTGGTTAAAATCCTGATTATTAAGATTTTCTGGGAATTTTTTTTTTATTTTTTTCTTTTCAACATCGTTTTAGTGATTTTAAGTAAGAATAAGTTACGCTATAACATGGAGGTAATTTACGACTGTTCGACAAGACTTTTGTTAATGTGATATTTTACGTTTTTTAACGACATTTTTACTTTTTTCTTTCTTTGTTTCAATTTGAATTTCAAACAAATCAAAAAGTTGTAGGACGACTTTTTTTTATTTCAATGGTTTAATCAGGCTAAAGGTGCTCGCGAATGAATGGATAATGCCTGCCGTTCCAATTGATGTGAGTATCTCAACTAAGGGCATAGATACCAAACGTTTTAAACATTCCTGAGCCTTTGAATTTTATAAGACAAAAATATACGGAGAAGCTTGAGAAATCGTCTAAAATTTTTTCGCTAATTAGGAGCATTTTGCTCCAAACATGCTCCATGCTCGCTAGATTTTAGTTAAAGTGCATAAGTAGAAACTTGGTCGGCTGGATTTTGTAGCGTTATAGTATTCAAACGTTCAATTTTCCGCAAACGGCTTAGTTTTCTTATTGATATATACGGGATAACTTTCAAAATCACATTTTCGGTTTCTACATTTTCCTCTTCAATGGACTCTTGTGGTTGCGAATGTCTTGAACATGAAAATTTTCCAAAAGAGAGAGAGAGGGAGAGAGACTGACGATCGTGTGGTTAGTACTTGTGATAACACATTTTACCCGTATATATAGGGCAAGATTCTTCACAAGAACAGTAAAGCAGGAAAATTTTAATATACGATCGGACGTCAGCAGCAGCGTCGATAGGATTGAATCAATCAGAAGGGAATTTCTTTTGCTTGCCTTGCAAGCCCTTACATTATTGTGAACGTGTCCGCGAACGTAAAGTTGGAATAGCTTTCTTAATGAAATTTTTTCAAGGAGATATTTCGGCTTCGCTTCTGCTCAGTAAGTTTGATTTTAAGTTTCCCTGAAGAGTCTCAAGGAATTGCTTTCTCTTAGGTTATCTAAATGTAGGATTTATTATGTACTCTTTTCTCTTTCCGCGCGAATGATGTTTATTAACCCTGAAGGGTTAACGAAGAGTCTCAAGGAATTTCCTTCCACTGAGGTTGTCTCAAGGATTTCTAGGATTTATTATGAACTTTTACGACAATTCAATGATGTTTATTATTTACTTTCAGTAGACGATTTCAATGGTTATGTGAAGTTGTCTGGCGCAATTAAGACTGCTTTTCTACGTACTTAAATTCGTCATATGGCGAATCTAGAGCACTCACGATTATCAACCATTGCATTATAGTTTTCTTCTGATATTCTTTGTGCGTTTTCTACTGGTGTCATTGTGTTCACCGCTGTGTAAACGGCCCGGAATACTCGATATTCATTCATATTAATTCAGCAGAAATTGTCGAGTAAAATACCTGGTGCTACTTTAAATTAAATTTTTCAATATAAATTAAGGATAAATTAAGTTAATAGTTAGATTACAGGCATATAACCTGATTCTCTTTGCAGTCTGTCTTTCACTTC